TGCAGTTTCGTCACGCTGGCCACGTGACCCGGAAGTGTCTCCGGACAGCGCTGGCTCCCGGCCTCTAGAGTGAGATGAGCGCACAACCCTAGAGTCTGTCAAGACTGGCCCGTACGGGCAGGGGTACCTTTACCTTTACCTTTTTAAAACACTAAAACAGCAAACCCATATAAAACAAGACTAATACCCTAATATATGGACCCTTCTTGTAAAGACCTGTTTTCCGGGGGGGGGGGGGGAAGCCTGCCAGAACAAAAATGTCTTCAGTTGTTTCCAGAAAGTGATGCCTGTTGCATCTTGACAGGTATTCCAGAGATCAGGGGCAGCCACATGAAAAGCCCTGCTCCGAGTTACTGTGGAGAGGACCTCCCTGAAGATCTTTGGAACTTAAGGAAAAACTGTAACACAGGTTGAAGCAATCTACTGGGTGTATGAGACAAAACAGTCTCTCAAGTAACCTGCTATTTAGCTCTATAGGACTGTATATGTTAGTGCAAACACCTTGGGCCTGGCCCAGGAACAGGTTGGCAGCCAGGGCAAATCCCACAGGGAGGGTGTTATGTTCTGAAAGCAGTTCCCCCTCTCCACAAGCAAGCTAGCAGCCACATTCTGCACCAACCCTCTGCCCTTGCCGGTTTTACTTTGCTTTTGCCGCTGTGTTTATAGTTCTAGATTTTTATGTTCCGTTTGCAACCTTTTATGGTTCTGCAATTGACTGTAAACCAGCCGGCGAACTTTTTGTCCTTGGGAAGTGCACAAATATTGTCAGTAAATCAATAGCTGCTCAGCCCCGCTCCCTCCCTTCAGAGGACCTGCCGCCTGCCAACTCCCAGAAAAAGCAAGACTGCTTCCATCACGGGCTGCGTGAGGTCCAGCAGCTCAGCTCCAAGATTTTGGCAGGGGCAGGGATGAAACTTAGCAGAGCAGATGCTCAGCACACAAAAAAGTCCTGGTTCAATACCTAGTGATTCCAGGTAATGGCAGAAGAGACCCATGCTGGAAACAGTGGAGAGCAGACGCCAGTCAGGGTTAAAAATAGTAAGCTATATAGACCAATGGTCTGGCTCAGTCTAAGGCAGCTTCCTACATTCCTATAGGATGCTGTCTGGCATGAGAACTTGAAGTATCTTGGCTCTCTATTCACACCACCCAATGCAATTTCCGTCCATTTTAGATTGTGCGTGCGGTTTTCAAGACTCTTTGCAAACTGCTTTGGCAGCCCCTTGGGCTCCTATGTTGGGCTCTAAATGCTCCTATGTTGAACTCCTTGCCCCAAAGTTTTAGGTATCATCCCCTCTATTTGTGTCTTGCTGGCATTTGGAGACATTTCAACTCTTGTTGCTGAACTTTTTTTTAAAAAAAAATATTATTAACGTATAAAACACATACCATTTACACAATACACGTACACAACACACTACCTTATCTTCATAACATAAAACATATCTACATTACTCTATATAATACCTACCTATACTATACATAAAGAAGGCTGATTGCCGAAGAATTTATGCTTTTGAATTATGGTGCTGGAGGAGACCCTTGAGAGTCCCATGAACTGCAAGAAGATCAAACCTATCCATTCTGAAGGAGATCAGCCCTGAGTACTCACTGGAAGGACAGATCGTGAAGCTGAGGCTCCAATATTTTGGCCACCTCATGAGAAGAGAAGACTCCCTGGAAAAGACCTGATGTTGCGAAAGATGGATGGCACAAGGAGAAGGGGGTGACGGAGGACAAGATGGTTGGTCAGTGTTCTCGAAGCTACCAGCATGAGTTTGACCAAACTGTGGGAGGCAGTGGAAGACAGAAGTGCCTGGCGTGCTCTGGTCCATGGAGTCACAAAGAGTTGGACACAACTAAACGACTAAACAACAACAACATACTATACATATCAACATACTTACACACCTACCCCACACAGACATGGGAAAATATCTGTCATTGCTGAACTTCATGAACTGATTAGTAATAGTACTACTCTATTCTGCCTTGGTAAGACCACACCTGGAATATGGTGTCCAGTTCTGGGTGCCACAATTTAAGAAGGATCTTGACAAACTGGAATGTGTGAAGAGGAGGAAAAAAGCAAGATATACATTTTTGTAACACAGAAATCAATAAATGTGAAGGGAGAAGAAACGCCATGGTGCATCTGCAGCAGCAAAACAGGGTGCCTTCATCTGCCCCCGTTGCAACAAAATATGTCTCTCCCGTATCGGTCTCTACAGCCACAGCAGGCGCTGTAACTCTCCAATGGTTTGACTTCACCCCAAAGGAGTACTCCTCCACTGTCTCCTGAGATAGACAGAGACCAATGAATGCAAACACATGTGGGCATTAGGCTACTCTGGGCAAGTGTGGCTGAGGCCAGGACCTACTGAGCCCTCAACTTACTTCTAGGGTGCCCCCCCCCCGGCCTTTATATACAGAGGGCAGCGCTCTATTGAAAGAAATGTCTGAGGTCAACAACACCTCAGAGCACAATCATGGGAGGGGTTTTTCCAGCTCTCTCTGCCGCTGCTTTTGGAAGCCTTGCAATTTGCTGCAGGAGAGGGACTGGGAGCTACATCATGAGAGGGGTGTTTCCAGGGTTCGAAATTAGCAGGGCGCCAGACGCATTTTGCGCCTCGAGAGTCTCCATTTGCAAGCACCTCAAAAAGCCTGGCGCCATTTTTTGCGCCGGGGTGACACTCAAGGATTACTGAAACGTATGAGCTTTGAAGCCTCAAGGTATAAGCTAAGGATAGACAATATGTTAAAGAGTTTAATAATAGAGTGCTTTGAAAACTCAAGTATGGTACCAATATTTTTACCGAAAATACCAAATTAAACATGTATCAGCAATTTCGGCTAAGTGTGTGATATTAACAATGTGTCGCTTCTGTGAATTGCGTATTAATTCATGCTCATCAAAATAATAAATGAAAAGTGTTGCCGATCACCCCACCCCACCAGCAACTAGACATTCTATTTTGGCACCCATAACTCAGGTCCCAGAAGCCATTTGGCTCCTAGCTTTCCATCCGTGTTTCTAACACTGGCTGTTTCTAGGACCAAGGTGATACCGTCCAGCTGTTTTGCTGTTACCAGGAGGTGCAATGTTGTGAGTGTAATCTTGCTGTATTTATAGTACCGAAATGTTTTCTTGCATGTTCCTATTTTCACTATCATGTTCCTGTTTTATTATGTTATTACGAAACTCCTCTTGCAACCGTTGGTTTTGAGGCGTATTCCTTTTTTTTCTTTGCTGTAAACTGCTTAGAGCATGTTCCTTTTTGTGGACAGGTGACATGCAAATACTATAAATAATAAATTATTATTATTATTACTATAATCATGATGTTGATGATGTCAGCCCTCTCATTTCATGGGCCTTCAGTAGATGCGATGGTACCCACTGCTAGGCCTGGCCGAAGGTGTATTGCAATAGCACTACCACCAAACAGATACAGGGGTAAAAAAAAATAAGAACAATAAATGAGTCCCCAAACCCGTTTGGGTTAAACATGGTCCCAGTGTCTGAAAAGTACAACGAGTACAGGTCTATTTCAAGTAGTCCATGTCCAGTTTAAAGATTTTATTTTCAAGAAACTGTAGAGAGGCCATCTTTGTTGCAAGTCCATGCAATGTCTTTTGTTTTGTAGCTGTGTGATTTGTGCTCATCTTGTATTGCGATGGCCATTGGCTATCAAAAATAAAATTGATTGATTGATTGACAGATATAAGACCTACTCCCTGCCTTGCTAGCCTGCTTCCACCAGGCCTGGGAGGGCCCTGACTGACTCCAGCTACAAAAATGATGCAAAAGCCAGCGGTCATCCTTGTTGTGAGGCCTGCAGGACCTGCTACAGAGGATGCTTAGAGACTCTTGGGGTGGGAGGGATGTTGTTTAAGGGTTTAAAGTTGGCGGGTCAAGATTTAATTTCCAAGGAGCTTACTTTCTGCTGCTCTTGGTATTAAATTTTTGCAAAAAATAATAATTGTGCCAGACTTCTTTTTATGTTGGGCCCGTTTCATTTTATTGTATACTTCTTGATACGCTTTTCTCTATTGCTTAGGACCACTTGTTATATTTCTGTAATGATGAGAAAAGGTGAGTTAGCAGCTTACACAGTGGATGCTCAGGTAGCAAACATGATCCATGCAGGATGCACGTTCGCAACCCGCAGCGTTCGCAACCCGCAGCAGCGCGTCTGCACACACGCATGTTGCAATTTGGCGCTTCTGCGCAAAGCGCGATTTAGCACTTCTGTTCATGCGCAACCGCCGAAACCTGGAAGGAACCCGTTCCGGTACTTCCGGGTTTCGGTGGTCCGTAACCCGAAAAAACACAACCTGAAGAGGTATGGCTATACAATGGCATGGAGAAAGTGGAAAGAGAGTGGCTGGGGAAAACCAGCCAGATGGGCAGGGTATAAATAATACATTTATTATTATTATTATTATTATTATTATTATTCTCCCTCATAACGCTAGAGCTCATGGGCAGGCAACAAAGTTGAATGATGGAAGATTTAGGACACCCAGCCATTATTTTATTATTATTCCACCACCACCACCAGTCACAGGGATTCATAGTTTTCCTCCCACACTCTTCATCAACAATAGCCGCTGTTCCTTAATGCACAACTTTTGCAACCACCGCCTCCTTCCTTCCTTCCTTCGCTCAGTCCGCAGAGCGTGAGAATCTTCGCAGAACTGCAGAGTTGGAAGGGACCCCAAGGGTCATCCAGCCCAACCCGCTGCGACGCTGGAAACTCAGCTAAAGCATCCGTGGCAGATGGCCATCCAACCTCTGCTTTAAAACCTCCAAGGAAGGGGAGTCCACAACCTCCCGAGGGTTGCGCGTTCGATCCCCACGCCGGACGAAAGATGCCGTCATCGCGTGGTGAGGGAGGCTAGACTAGATGACCCTCGTAGCCCCGCCCAAATGCTACGATTCCCTCCCCCTTGCTCGCGCTCGGCGCTGCAAGTGGCCAGGCTCTCCCTCTCCAGGCGGGGCGCGCCGGAGACAAAAGGCCAATGGCGCGCCACTCCGGGCTCCCCGCCCAGGCCCGCATCCGCCGCCCGGCCTCCTCCTCCTAACCCGTCACGTGGGAAGAGAGCCCCGCGGCTTCTAGCAGCAACAGGGGCAGGAGCAGAGCCGCGTGGGGTCGGAGAGCAGCGCCTGCGATCGCCTCCTGTTCGTCGACCTTGTTCTCCTCGCTCTCTCTTCCCTCTCCACGAGGCCGCCATGAAGAAGCTGCTGGTGGCCGCGCTGCTGCCCGTCTGCTTCGTAGCCCTGTCGGGTAAGTCGCCTTTTTTACTTCTTCTGCGGGGGCGGGGAAGACCCCCCCCCCGCCGCGAGCGAGAGAAAAAGGGAAAGTTGTCTTTGCTCCTCTCCACGGATCAGGTCCCCTCGCGCGCGCGCGCGCGCCTTCCCACGCCTTCTGCTTTTCGGAAAGGGATGCGTCCGAAGGAGGTTTGCTCATTTCCCTCTCTGTTGCAAGCGGGAACTTGCACGGATTTTTGTAATGTTTTCCCCCCCTCCCGCCTCAGAGTCGGCTCAGCTCAAAAAGTGGGGTCGCCAGTTTTTAAAAGCCCCCGCTTTCTTAACTGTGAAAGTTATTTGGAGACCCCTGGGTATCTTTCGTGTGTGTGTTTGTGTGTTGTGCGCGCCGTCGAGGTTGCACGGCCGGCCGCAGAAAAGGAAGTGCACGTGCTTTTATTTTAATTTTTGCACGGAGAAGGTCCCCGGTTCAGTTCCAGCGCAGTTTCAAACCAAATCTCAGCTTAAAAAACAAAACAAAAACGGAGGGAATAGCAGGTCTGGACGGTCCCCAAATCCCTGCCTGTCATAATAGACAGTGCCAGAACAGATGGAGCAATGGGTCTTAGACGCTGTTTCATGTTTTCAGAGCAAATAGAACTGGGACGCCTTTCTTCCATCCCGACCGACATCCTTCCTTGCACGGCAAAGGGACCTTCGTGTGAACGCAGCCAGAAATTGACTTACCACCATGCAAGCAGTTTGCTTGTTGTTGGAAAATAAGTTTAGGGAGGATTGAGGTCACTGAGGTTTCTTTGCGTCTGTGTGGCTTTATTGCAGTTCCGTGAGTAACAAACAACGTGGTCTTGTTGCTACCAAAAGAAAGAGGGTCGTTTCATTTCTAGTCCTTTAGAGGCTCTTGGGGGATGAAGTGTAAACTGCAAGCACTTCCCAATCTGTGCGAAATCATAGCAAAGGCCAGAGCATGTAAACAAAAGACTGACATGCTGAGGCAAAACATTGGCTTGGAAGTAAACCCTTCCAAGTAAGGCTGCAGATATTAAGACGGGTTTGCTAAGATAAGAATCTCACCAATCAAAACTCTGTTCTCTCATTTATTTGCCAACAAAGGGCAAGTCTTGCTTTCTAGAGCAGCTTTCGCCCACCTAGTGCCCTCCAGATGTTTCTAACTACAACTTCCATCAGGCTCCTCCAGCACAGCCTGGCTGATGAGAGCTGTGATTGAAAACATCTGGACTGAAGGGCACCAGGTTGCCAAAGGCTAGCTTGACCTACTAAATCTTAATGACAAGGTCTACTTTTAGGGGCAATAATTAGTATTAGCATTATTTATGTAGAAAGCTCTACTTTTTCTTTTGGTCAACCATGGCTTCCTGCTTCATCCATGATTAACACCGGCCATGATTAGTTTAAAGCAGGCATAGGCAAACCTGGCCCTAAAGATGTTTTGGGACTACAACTCCCATCAGAAGGAGGGGGCTACCAAACCTTGGTTTTGCTGCAGGTCATACATGTTGCAGTGTACCATGGTTTAAATTTAGCATGACATGAGAACACAGTTCTGTGTTGCACTCTCACTTGCATTGGAGGAAGAAGGCAACGGTCCACTGCCTTCGTGTCTTTAGGGGAACTTGGAGGAACCGCAGTTGGTGCTCAGCACCTCGGTCGGTGACCCCACACAGTCAGGGAGCATGTCCTCCACCCCTGGAAAACCTGTCAGACTGATGGTGCCAACAAGTCTGAGTATCCACAAGGACATTGGGTCATTTGGTCACCAGATTAGTGCCTTGAGGGTAGAAGAGTCTGTTGATGTATAAAAAACCGTTTAGAGACTGCTCCTCATATATCTGGCCCGTATACAACAAAAATTACAAGAGAGAGTGTTGGCATCCATCTGTCTCGAGAGAGAGTGGAGTGCGCCGCCGGGGGTGAAATTAAACGGCTGCATTAGCAGCACTGAAGGGACCTCTCTGGGGCACAAGCCTGGGCAGTGTGCATGGAGTTTCTGGGCTGCCCAGATGGCAAGACCCCTCTCTTGGCCTCACTGATGTGGTCCAAAGGAAAGCAGAGCAATACGTTCGGTACCAGCTTGGCTGCAGGAGTTGCTAGAAAGAGGCGTACAAGGCACCCTCCAACCATCTTAGGGACTCTATACTCCAGATTTGCATAGGGTTTACTCCTTGGCCTTTTCTTCTCCCAAAGATACCTCACAAGGCAGCAGAGGTTGAGGATCAAGGTTTTCCTTCTCCTGGATGGGCTGCCTTCCCAGGTTGATGAGCCCCACCTGGCCCTCACTTCCCTCTACAGCAGGTGCATAAACCACCTTCTTGGGGCCACTATTGGTCTTGTCAGCTCAATTCACCAGAGCCTGTCTTTGCATGCAGGGGAAGTCCCTCAACCCTTGGCTACCCCTCACCTCGTTTAGCTAGCCAGTCAAAGCCATTTCCGAGGTGTGGCCTCCGTTGCACGCCGACAGCTTCTGTGAGCCACAGGTGAGAGCTGAGTGCAGAGTAGGGGACCAAGGCTGGGCAAGCTACCCCAGAAGGAGCATGACATGCCCCCTACCACAGGTACAGTGGTACCTTGGGTTACATACGCTTCAGGTTACAGACTCCGCTAACCTAGAAATAGTACCTTGGGTTAAGAACTTTGCTTCAGGATGAGAACAGAAATTGTGTGGTGGCAGCGGGAGGCCCCATTAGCTAAAGTGGTGCTTCAGGTTAAGAACGGACCTCCGGAACGAATTAAGTACGTAATCAGAGGTACCACTGTACTCCTCCTCTCCAAAAACCCTTCAAAAGAGACACAATTAAAGCATTAAAAGCAATGCAGGATATGCATAAAAATGGCTGGCTCCTCTTGAAAGTTTAAGCTGCTGAATTGGCCTGTTGACATTAAAAAAAGAAGTCTTGAAGAGATGCCTGAAAATCAAAAGGTAGGGGTGCCTGACTGGTGTGTGCTGCAAAGGTGTTCCACAGCATGGAACCAGTGGTGCTAAACGCTCAACTTCTGGTTGAAGCCAAATGGGTTTCTGAAACACTGGAGGCAACTAACATAGTTCCTCTGGATGATTTCAGTGATCTTGCTGCTATATAAGACTCGGATGAATCAGCCCCACACAGATAGAGCTGATGGAACAGCTGGCCTGACCTTGGAAAAGACCTAGGTAGAGAACATTGGCTAAGAAGATAGTTCAAGATTACATTATCTCTTTCTGGGTTGTAAATCAGTCTTCCTTGACCCTTGAGAAGCCTGAAGGGAACTGTGCTAAATTTAATGTGCTGTGAAATATCTAGCAGCTGAGGGACGTAGCACAGTTGCTCTGAAATAGATGTAGCATCTCAGGCAGCTTTTGAAATTTGCCAGGCGCATTTTGCATATTGGCCATTTGCAACCAAGTGAAGATAGCTGAGTGTCAGGATAGTGCCTGGCGTCTCTACCATCTGGAGGTACGTGCCTCCTTGAATCTGGAGTAGCAACACATCCTGTAGAATTCTAACAGTGATAGTTTATCTGCACAATCGGAATCAATTACAGGAACCAAAAAGCCCTATTGAAAAATACAACTTCCGAGCCGTCTGGCCCCAAAATGGCAACTAGGCATTCTGTTTTGGCGACAGCAAACCTGGTTGAAGGAGCCATTTGGCGCCTAGTTTTTATATCTGAATTTCTAACACTGACTCAGGATTCATTTGTGAAAAGGGGGGGAACTTGCTAGTAATAAACATAGCTTGCCTTCCTGTAGCTAAAAAGAATTTATGACCCTTTGAGCTCGTCTCAGGGCCCAGCCTGAAGTGGGTTGTAAATGGCCACTGCAAGTCTAGGTGATGTCTAGTGGAACTCATCTCACTGGGGACAATGTGGCCTGTTGTATCTTCTCCACCCCCAAAATGAGCAGATAATAATGTGAGCCTTATATGCAGGCAAGTGCAGAACATCGTGACACAAGGTAAACGAGGTGAAGTAGACAGAACGAAAAGGATGTGCATCAGCCATTTTATGTGGTTGCATTTCCTGTAACATCTACCAGAAAAGTCAAGTAGCTTTGAAAAGGTTTGGGGATTTGCAGGTTTTTGACAAGAGGTAAACAGACAATTTAAACACAGCTTGCAAGTTTTTGCTAGAACTTTTAAAAACCACAATGATGCATCCAGTGTTATGCTTGGCTCCTGATATACTTCCCTCTGTCTTTCTACTCCTTTTCCACCCTCCCCGTGTATTTTAGTTTACTGTTCCAACAATCTTTCTCAAGCTTGTGTGCCATCTGTATAGGAACCAACAGATCCATCAGTGTGGCTATTCTTACATATTGTGAAACAGTGTCATCCATGGACCAGTGCTGGTCCGCAATGTCTTCACTACAGGTTGGGTGGGATGCTTCAAGGACCAAATTTGGTACTGGTTCCTGGTGGGAAATCCCACTCCAGCACATCAGATAGCTTGAGAAGCACTGATAAAAATCATACTTTCACCACTTCATTGAACTGCAGAAACATTGTTAGTAGGGCTGAGCGTTAGAATAGCAGTAGGGGAAACAATTGCAGCAAACAGCCTTAGGAGGAAATGGAAGATTTACACTGCAGATTATATTGGAGAACATTGTTCATTGCATTTTTAAACCCCTCTTAAAACCAGTTTTCCCAGGGTGTAACTTGCTCCCTCTCCTCTTCCGAAAACACTACAGTGGAAACTTGGTTTTCGAACGTAATCTGTTCTGGAAGGCCGTTCAACTTGTGAAACATTCGAAAACCAAGGAGCAATGGGCAGTCGGCAAAATCCATTGAGAAAAAAGAGAAAAACTTGCAGTGGAATCCGTTCGACTTTCAGGGCACATTCGAAAACGGAAGCAATTACTTCCGGGTTTTCGGCGGTTGGCTTCCAAAACATTCGGCTTCTGAGATGCTCAAAAACTGAGGTTCCACTGTATTTTGAAATTAAGCTTTGTCCCCTCTTTGCTTTAAACCAGGTGTAGGCAAACTCAGCCCTCCAGAAATTTTTGGGACTACAACTCCCATCATCCCTAGCTAACAGGACCAGTGGTTGGGAATTATGGGAATTGTAGTCCCAAAACATCTGGAGGGCTGAGTTTGCCTATGCCTGCTTTAAACCTTGCAGCTTCTCCCAAGGTGATTTTGCAGTGGTAGGGTGAGTGGCACCTGCTTAGCTTGTCTCTGGGCCACCCTAAAGTCATTTCACAGGTGTCCCAGGTACCTAGGTAAAGTTTTCTTTAAGGGGGAAAAATGCACATTATACCTTAGAAGGAGGGCTAAAAGCCAGGAGAGCAATTTTAATTTTGGAGATTCCTGAGTGGGGAGGGGGGAGCAAGGGGGAAAGTGATGGGGTGGGGGAGAGATTTTCTGCATGCCACAAGTATTACCAAAAAAGCCTGGAGATTCTTAGAGGTATTTGAAAAGGGTGGGTTAGATATGGAGCATAACTGCCTGCAATTTCACTGTGCCCTGAGGCATAAGTTGGACCCTTGATCCCTCGCCACCTCTCCAAAATAAAGACACAGACATCATGAGGGCAAGACATGCAGCTTATTCTGTGGGTATGGAAACAAGACGGTGCCCCAGATTCCTAGTGTCCGCAGACACTTCAGAATGTAAAAAGGAGGGCAGGCTTTTTGTACCTTTAACAGGTGGAGAAAATCAACAGGTGTAATTTCTGTGTTTGGGAAAGTACCAGTTGAATGAATCATCAGAATGATTAACGCCACTGAACCTCTTGTCGAGAAAGCCAGCATTCCTAATTTCTGTTTACTTTTTTTATTTTGTGTTGTCATAAACATACAAATAGATACTAATATACATGCACTTATAAAATTCAAATATCATATGAAACTGGTCACAGTTCTAACTTTATCATTTAAGAATTGGTATAAATAAACACATCACTATAAGCAAATCACTTTTATAATTTAGGCTGCAACCCTTTCTAATTTATAGTATCATCCCATTCTCATATGTATATGATGGCACCCATCTGTTTCGGGAGACAATGGAGGAGTGTGCCTTTGGGGGTAAAGTCAAACTATTGGAGAGTTTGGTGCAATGCAGGAGAGACATGTTTTGTTACATCCGGGGAAGATGAAGGTGTCCAGTTGTGCTGCTGCAGATGCGCCATGGTGTTTCTTCTCTCTGCGTTCCTCCCGGCGGTCATTCGTCCTCTGGTCACTGCTATACACACACAACTTGACTTTGTGTCTCCAAGCACTGCAGTTTTCTGCAAGGGGTTGTCACATGACAGAGCTGATGTTGCCAGCCTTTGTGTCATGTTTGCAGACACCTTTGCAACACAGAGTTGGTTTGGCAATGGCGCTGGTGCCTGAAGCCAGCTCCCCATAGAGCACGTATATGTGTGCGTTTGCGTACACACACACACACACACGTTGGAAGCGTAGATTTTGGCAAAATTCCTTAAAAATAGCTCAACACCCTTTGTGTGCAGATGTTCACTTTTTGAAATATGGCGACTCTAACATATACACATCTAAACACATGATGACATGTCTCATTTTTTAAAATCTTGGCACTGAGGGGGCAGTTTTCTGCTTCATATACCTTACAAAAGGTGACCAGGTTTTCTCATTTCGCTCTTTTCTCTGACTTACCCCCCCCAAAAAACCCTCATTTCTTTATTTTTACCAACTTATTTGGGGGAAAACAGCATGTTCCCCTCTCCTGGCATAGAGAAGAGGGATGCTGTTGCTTTTCCAGTGGCCTAGCCAGCATAGGAATCTGTGTTTAGCAGAGTGCCGGTTCCTAACTGCAGTATTTTGCCCTCTCTCCTTATACATGCTCTGCATATAACCTTTATCTAATCTGCATCTCTTCCTTTTTTCTGCTTAGTCGTTTTTTGGGGGCAGGGCATGACAATCCGCTTACCGCACACCTAGTGTGGGTTGCAGAAGCTCTTAGCAAGGAGTCCAGGAGAACAGACTGCCTACGTACAGATCTGCATGCTGCCGTGTTTATCCCAAAGCTGATCTCTGGAGGTTGCCCAGGCACCCCTGCCTTGCCGTCTGTTCCTAAAAGCATTGGGAGAGAGATACAGTGGTGCCCCGCAAGACGAATGCCTCGCAAGACGGAAAACCCGCTAGACGAAAGGGTTTTCCGTTTTGGAGGTGCTTCGCAAAACGAATTTCCTATGGGCTTGCTTCGCAAGACGAAAATGTCTTGCGAGTTCCTGCGGGGTTTTTTTCCTTCCCCCCCCCTTTTTCCCAAGCCGCTAAGCCGCTTATCAGCTGATCCTAAGCCGCTAAGCCGCTTAACAGCTGATCCCTTAAGCCGCTTATCAGCTAAGCCGCTTATCAGCTGATCCGCTAAGCCGCTAATAGCGCTAATCCGCTAAGCCGCTAATGGGCTTGCTTCGCAAGACGGAAAAAACCGCAAGACGAAGAGACTCGCGGAACGGATTCTTTTCATCTTGCGAGGCACCACTGTACTGGGGCTGAAATGTCTATATGCTCTGCCCTTCCCCTTGTGTTCCTGGCTTTAGGGAGGATATTGTGGTTTGTTCAAGCAGCATTTCCAGTGGCAACCAAACAGGGAAACGGTGGTTTTAGTTGGGGGTGGGGAACAGGTAGACCTCCTGCAGAGGTGGCTGGAGTCCTATCAGCACCAGCCAGCACAGCCAGTAGTCAAGGAAGATGGGAGTTGTAGTCCAGAACAACCTCTGGAAGGCCACAGGTTCCCCATCCCCAACAAGGGTAAGAAATCTAAATCTGATCCGTTTCCTGATTCGGATGTCACTGACAACAGTTCAGCAAACCACAATATCTTCTCAAAAGAAAGTGTGGGGCCCGTGGTTAATGGGGAGAAAGCACAAAGACGCAAAGCTTTTTCCGATAAAGCATGATAAATGATGTGATGTCTGAACTGGGCCACACTCAACGTAGCCCCAGATAGATCCCACCGGGGTCAATGGGATCTTCTCACAATTAAGTTTGTGTAGGATTGCATTGCTCTGGTGAAAGGCCCATCAAACAGGATAGTCATCGAGCATACATTTCCAAAGAAACTCCTCTTCATAGGCAAGACAGATCCCATCACACGATAACTTAATTGTCACAAGACATTACATACGACACAGTGGACATTCTGTTTCAGTGTATGTACAAAATCTCAGAGCGTTAAGACCTAGGCTGGAGGCGTAAAGATGTTTTTTTTTTACCGGTTTGGTTCATAGTGTTAACGTTGCCAAATCCAAGCTCCTGGAAATTGTCGTGAATATCCCAAGCTTTATGAGCCTTTCACCATAGTACTTGTAGTTGCAAGATTCTTGTGTTTAGCATGGGGTTGAGCAAGATCAGGGCCGAGGACGTGGATACAGCTGGCAACCTAGATCTACATGTGGATACAGCTGGCAACCTAGATCTGATGATGATGATGATAATAATAAAATTTTATTACTTATTACCCCCCCCCCATCAGGCTGGGCCTCCCCAGCCATTCTGGGCAGCTCCTGTTGGCATTCCATTCCTCCGCTGTGCAGATGTGTGGGATTGTTTTAATTACATGTCTGTGTTTTACAGTCCAGCACTGATTGTCGGAGTCTTGTAAACGGAAGTTCCGTTCTGTATTGCTTTTGTTTCCTTCTTCTCTCTGAGAGCAAGAAGGAGAGGAGCCATGTTTTCCTTTGTCCTGTTTTGTATATATAAATAAACTAGCTTAGTGCTCACACCTCAGGCCTGGATTCTGCTGATGTTGTTTGTCTGCTAACGTGTGCTCAGTGTCTCTGGACATGAGTCACAGAATCTCATCCGGGAAGAAGAATGATGGATTTCAGGAGTGGCACGCAGACCAGAGAGACGGGCTGGCATGCATGATGTCATTTGCCTGGTCGCCCTCCTTGCCTGCCAGCCATTACCCCAACAGCTCCCAACAGAATATCAAAAACACGATAAAACATCAACCATTAAGAACTTCCCTGAACAGGGCTGCCTTCTAAGACATTAGTAAAGGTAAAGGTACCCCTGACCATTAGGTCCAGTCGTGTCCAGCATGACTCAGCCGCTTCATTAGGTTCAGCATGACTAAGCCGCTTCTGGCGAACCAAAGCAGCGCACGGAAACGCCGTTTACCTTCCCGCCAGAGCGGTACCCATTTATCTACTTGCACTTTGACGTGCTTTCGAACTGCTAGGTTGGCAGGAGCAGGGACCGAGCAATGGGAGCTCACCCCGTAACGGGGATTCGAACCGCCGACCTTCTGATCAGCAAGTCCTAGGCTCTGTGGTTTAACCCACAGCACCACCCACGTCCCTCTAAGACATTAGATGTCTTCTAAAAGTCAGATAGTTGTTTATTTCCTTGACGTCTGATGGGAGGGCGTTCCACAGGGCGGGCACCACTACCAAGAAGGCCCTCTGCCTGGTTCCCTGTAACCTCGCTTCTCGCAGGGAGGTAACCACCAGAAGGCCCTCGGCGCTGGACCTCAGTGTCCGGGCAGAACAATGGGGGTGGAGACGCTCCTTCAGGTATACTGGACCAAGGCCATTTAGGGCTTTAAAGGTCAGCACCAACACTTTGAATCCTAGCTTCCCCCACCCCTGGCAGGCAACTTTGATAGGTGGATGGGTTCTGCCCACCTCTCAGACTTGAAAGGTAAAATAATGCAAATGTATTTATCACTATGTTATGTGTGTTTGTTTCAGTGACTGCTGCAGGACCGAACGTGACCTCCGCAGCTCCCCATTCAAGTTCAATAACAAGTAGGTCTCTACTTAATTTTTTTTCCCCCTTCTGCTTTACTAAGATGAAAGCACTTGCATCTGTGGCCCCCAAATCCAAGGCAAATGATTTGCTTATCCAAACGGCTTGTGGCAGGGGGGTTGCCTCTCTGTTCTGAGAAATTGCGTAACTGGCATTGGGAAAGAAGGATGGTGTTGAAGATGTCAAGGACATCCTTGTTGGAGTTGCTCCTCAGGAATGACTGATATACTTTTCACACATTGGGCAGGTCAGATTTATTATTATTATTTGGCTGAGAGTCTTCAGGTTGCAATTCCAATAAAGCACCCTTGCAAGCTATTCCATTTAGGGAGCAACCCTATGGCCAAGAGCCTTGGGATGCAGGTATCTGGCTCACAGGGCTACAGTTCCCAGAGTTTCCTCTGAGATTGATCATTAAACCACTCTGGGAATCGCAGCTCGGGGGATGGGGGGTCTCTTAACAACTCTCAGCACCCCTCACAAACTACATCTCCCAGAACCCTTTGGAGGAAGCCATGATGGTTTAAAGTGCATGCCTGAAATAATGGTGTGTTGTTATATTCTGGAGTGACATCCACAGTTGTATTTTAAGCTGTATTTATTTATTTATTTATTTATCTATCCTATCCTATCCTATCCTATCCTATCCTATCCTGTCGTATCCTGCCTTCCAAAGGAGCCCAAGGCGGCAAACCAAAAGCATAATAAAATAATGCAATTAAAAATATAAACATTAAGAACATTGAAAACGATCTAATGGTATGCATTCCTGTATCTAAAGCCCAAATACATACAAGTTAAGAGTAACTGAGTTCCCCATGTGCCCAGCACCCAATGAAATCCACACGTGGCACTCCAACGACCTTATTGTTATTCAGAAGAACTTCTTAAAAGTTATTTTCTTTCTCACCCGACGCCCATGAATCATAGTGTTAGAAGTGAATATGAGGGTCATCTAGTCCAACCCCCTGTAATGCAGGAAAATTTCTGTCAGTGGGGAGCTCAAATCCATGACCCTGATCTAAAGTTGTAGGGTTGGTTCGTTTTCAATTATTCTGCTGACTTTTGAGAAACGTTTATTTTGGAGTTGTTGGTTCCAAACATCAAGCTCCAGTTTCTGTTTTTGGACCTAGAACAAAGGTACCGGGGGCCAAAAAAATGAAAAGGGGGGAGGGGACCCCCCTAACTCAAAACAACAACCCAGCTTTTCAATGTTTCATCATAGATTAATTACCTGCTTTGGAGAAACCACAGCTGGGCATGTTGCCATGTGCGAGTTAAGGCAAGATGTGGCGCAAGTCATCGTTCCTATGCCTTTCACGGGCAAAAAGCAAAAGTTGCCTTTTATTTGTGAAACGCTTTCTTTTCTATATTCTATTATTTGTCCTCCCTCCTTTTTGAATGCTCTGATGCTACTTTTGTCTTCGGTGTTGTTGCTTAAGTCCGGTTTGGATTAATTTTGCTGCTCTTGTAAACCTTGATATTTTATTACGTGATTGAGGTTCAAGCGTTGTATTTGCAAAACGAGCTTGGCAATTGAAAAGTATTGAGCTTAATTTTACCCACAGCCCCATTCCTCAAGGCGGGGTGTGTGTGCGCGCACACGCTAAATGTTGATATTTTTATCTCAGAACTTTGCACATGTTCCAAGAGGGAAGCAAGAGGCAGCCTTAACCTGTGAAGGAACCTCAGTGCAACTGGGGATGCTTGACTCTGCAAATTCCCTAATTGTACAAACAGAGCCTACACACAAGCACTCTGTACATGCTCAGGCTCTTTTACGAGTTGCTCTGAATGTGTCACGAGGGCTGAATGGATAACTTCACCAGACTCAAGGCAGATAGAAGCCTTCCCATCATGGAGCTGGGTGTTCAGGTCTCCGGATGGAGGGTTGGGTTCAAACTGCATTTCTGGCACATCTGTTTTGGAGACCCAGTGTGGTGTAGTGGTTCAGATGTCAGACTCGGACCTGGGAGACCCGGGTTCAAATCCCCATTCAGCCATGAAGTTCATTGGACGACTTTTGGCCAGTCAGTGTCTCTCAGCCCAACTGCCCTCACAGGGTTGTTTGGGGAGTTAACTGATAAAGGGGGAGAACAATGTAAACCACCTTTGTGCTCTTTGGAGAAAAGCTGGGATATAAATAAAATAAATAAAAGTAGTGAGGGAGGGGCAGAAATTGTGGTTCCACTTCCTTCCCTATGCACAAAAACAAACATTCCCTGTGATAGGCTCATCGATGCTCTCCACCTATCTGTGAAATGTTCTCACACCTATTTGAGGAGCTTCAAGCATCTACATTGACCTGTTGTATTGACCAAGCAGTGTGACTCATTACGGGAATAATAATAATAATAATAATAATAATAATAATAATAATAATTTATTATTTATACCCCGCCCATCTGGCTGGGCTTCCCCAGCCACTCTGGGCAGCTTCCAAAAAAATTATAAATACTGTAATACATCAAACATTAAAAGCTTCCCTAAACAGGGCTGCCTTCAGGTGTCTTCTAAAAGTCTGGTAGTTGTTCTTCTCTTTGACATCTATTGAGAGGGCGTTCCACAGGGCGGGTGCCACTACCGAGAAGGCCCTCTGCCTGCTTCCCTGTAACTTGGCTTCTCGCAGTGAGGGAACCGCCAGAAGGCCCTCGGCGCTGGACCTCAGTATCCGGGTAGAACGATGGGGGTGGAGACGCTCCTTCAGATATACTGGACCGAAGCCGTTTAGGGCTTTAAAGTTCAGCACCAACACTTTGAATTGTGCTCAGAAACGTACTCACAAGCATTGAAAGTGCTGTGTGAAATAAAGCACGTATTGACACCCCCCCCCCAAAAAAGAGAGCACATTTCGATGTTTAGTGAAGGCCATTCTTTTTCTGGAGGGTTTTGCTTTCTATGTCTGCCCCATGTATCTGATGTGTTCCTATATTTCACGCATGCTTTGCAAAGGAACAACGCTTCCTAATTGCGGCAAGGTGAGTATATCAGTGGAAGAGCCCGATGGCTAGCAAGCCTTAATTAACACTGTCTTTTGCATTCGGGGGGGGGGGGGTTGTCATTAAGCGCACTCTTGTACAACGTGAGAGATAGATGGGATGAGACTTGTTTGAGGATGTGTGCAGTTTCACTTGAGAAACCTCAGCTTGCAGGGTGCTGAATTACTTCCTTTATAAAGGTTTGCTGCAAAATGAGTCAGAGCAGTTTCTGCAACAGGCCTGTTAGCTTCTCGGTTGAAAACAGGCCTTTCCCCCTCACTAAAACGTGGCTACAGTGGTACCTCGGGTTACAGATGCTTCAGGTTACAGACTCCGCTAACCCAGAAATAGTAACTCAGGTTAAGAACTTTGCTTCAGGATGAGAAGAGAAATTGTGTGGCAGTGGGAGGCCCCATTAGCTAAAGTGGTGCTTCAGGTTAAGAACAGTTTCAGGTTAAGAACAGACCTCCAGAACAAATTAAGTTCTAACCAGAGGTACCACTATACTGAACTCTGGTCGGCTTGGCATGCAATAATTTGTTCAGGCTTGTGTTGTTAGGCACCAAAGAAAGTCCCTTGTGTTGCAAAACAGAACACACTGAACAACAGCAAGCAACACATTGGCTAATAAGATACTGACAATATTTTTATAACGCTAAAATTCACAAACAGAAGACATATAATATGTGCATGGAGTCACAAACGAATAAGAATCAAATAAACGTTCCATGAACAGGAATGGTAGGAGGAGTTAAGCCACTGTCAAAGATCACTGAAATGGAGGCAGAATGCCTTTCCACAGTCAGTATCCTACAAATGTGAGAAGATGGGTGCTCCAGACGTTGCAATAGGGTGCTCCGAGCACAGCAGTAGACGGTACAGTTCTTCCAGGATCATGAACTGTTTCAATGGTTCAATCTTCATCACCTAGCAGTAATATGAAATGAAAACCAGTGAAAGAAATGTCAGGCCTTCGTGTTAACCAATAATAAATACATACCAAATTAATTGTCCCCAAAGGTACATTAAATGGCCATGGATCAGCTATCACTAAAAAGTGTAGTAAGCTGATGCTGTTGGCAAAACCCGAGTGGCATTAAAATGGCTCTCAACAGGTGCGGTGAATCACATAGAATTACAGGAAATTTAAAGGTACATTATCTGAAATACAGCAAAGAACATACAAACAGAAGCCATCTTGACAGAAAACTTAACCAAAACAATTAAAATCTAATTCAGTATTTGTGGTGTTAGGCATCAGGGGTCATGAGCCCTTAACAAACCCGGTGGTCACACGCCAGGGGGGCAACAAATGTTTTGTTTTGTTTTTCATTTGTACAATGGGCTAGTCCTAACAGTCAGATAGAGTCTTGAGTTCCATGTCTGAGGTTCCCCACCTCTGATGTAAATAATAGAAAAAATTAAGAAATTTGAGGGTCGGCAAAAGATACTTGGAAATTCCTGAGAATCCACTGAATTTTCTCAGTATCCTCCCAAAATGTGGATAATTGCCAGGAATCAATCAACATTCACCAAGGCTCTGCTTTTTAGTGTAACAGGCAGTGCATACCTTTGTTCAAGCTGTTGTGCTATTTTCTACCTGCTATTCAAAACACATCACTAAGGAATGCATACTTGATGTGAATTTGATTCCCTGCTCTTGGAGCATTGATGCAATCCGTCTTCTTCCCATTGATGAAAATTCAGCTGCAGCAGAAAGGGGTGGGGGAGGTGTTTGTGGGTCTCCTTCCCAAAGGCTCAGCTTGGCTCCCCAAGGTTAAAACAAGGAATGCAGTTTCACAAGTTCTGGTTGACATCTGATGCTTTATCTTCATTGAGTCCTTGCTAAGTGGTAATCAACAGTTTGATATGCAAAACGCCATGGGGGGTGAGATTGGGGAAGGTCATCGTGAAAATGTGGAGTGCAGTCTCTAAAAACACAACATTATTATGCTGGATCAGTCTATTGGATCTCATCAGCTCCAGCCAGCACAATTGTTCTGTATTCAAATGGTGTGTGTGTGTGTGTGTGTGTGTGTGTGTGTGTGTGCATCATGTCATGTGACCAGTTATGCAGCTCCGCTCCCCCCAATATTTTATTCAAGTTGGCCCCCTTGTAGGGCAGTAGACAAATTGAATAAATAATAATAAATTCCTGCAGAATTAAAAAAATAATGAATTATTGCTTAAATCGAGTCCCATGCAGTCTCTTTTTAACATTGGCTACGGGGTAGTCATAAAACTACTGTTTTGCCAGAAGTCTAATTTATGCTGGAAATGTGGAAAAATGGAAGGAACATTGTTCCATATTTGGTGGAACTGCGAAAAAACCAAGACCTACTGGGGTATGATTCATGAAGAACTCAAAAAAATGTTTAAAACATACAGTGGTACCTCAGGTTAAGAACTTAATTCGTTCTGGAGGTCCGTTCTTAACCTGAAACTGTTCTTAACCTGAGGTACCACCTTAGCTAATGGGGACTCTCGCGGCCGCCACACTATTTCTGTTCTCATCCTGAAGCAAAGTTCTTAACCCGAGGTACTATTTCTGGGTTAGAGTCTGTAACCTGAAGCGTCTGTAACCCGAGGTACCACTGTACTTACAAAAGAAACCAGAGGCATATTTATTAGGATTATTGGGAAAAGACATACCGCAGAAAAAGAAAGGAATTTTCTTACATGCTACAGTCACCGCCAGGATACTATATGCCAGTAAATGGAAGAGCGAAGTAATACCCACAAAAGAAGACTGGCTATACAAATTAAGTCAAGTTATAGAAATGGCAAAGCTAACTGCATACATAAGAAAACAGACAAACCAAAAACTCAGACTAGAATGGCAGTGTTTTGAAGAATACATGGACAAACACTGTTCAAGAATATGTTGATATGCTGATATTAAAGGAGTAAAGTAGAAATTATTAATTAGGAATGTCATAATGAGATCAAAATTTAAAATTTAAAAAATGCAATGATGGTATTGAATGTGTAAGATAAGGAAGTCGAGATGTTGTGGAGGGGGGTCAAAGGGTGTGGTGGTGGGAAGATAAGGGGGTGGGAAGGATTTTTTATATGTAAATAGTAGCCTTATTTTTGTATGTCTTTGCACCGATAGGATGCATTTCTTTTTCTTTTTCTGTATTACTAAAATTTAATAATAATAATAACTTAGAAAAAAGAAGAAAAACCTACTGTTTTGCCATGTCCGCAGGTGTTCTTAAACCGAACACTACCACTCCTGCCCACAATGTGACAAACGCAACGACCCCAACTGCTCCTGCCACCACAGTCGACACCAACGTAAGCACCAGTGCCCACCCTGAAAATAAAACAAGTGCAAAGCCCACCCCAGTGAAACCTGTGTCTCCTAATGTGACCACAGCGACTTCCAAGGCTACTTTGCCTTCTGCTTCTGTGACAGGTATGTGTTGATCTGCAGCTACCGCCCAGTAGGAAAGGAAAAGATCCTGAAAACTAGTAGCCCTTGGTAGACTTATCCTCCATGGAATTGATCCATCATAATAGTAATATTTTTATTATGTATACTCCGCCCACCTGTCAGGGTTACCCCAGCCGCTCTGAGTGGCTTCAAGCATATATAAAAACACGATAAAACATCAAAAATTAAAAACTTCCCTAAACAGGGCTGCCTTCAGATGTCTTCTAAAAGTTAGATAGTTGTTTATTTCCTTGACATCTGATGGCCACAGGTGGGTGCCACAACCAAGAAGGCCTTCTGCCTGGTTCCCTGTAACCCCGGGAACCGCCAGAAGGCCCTCGGAGCTGAACCTCAGTGTCCAGGTTGAACGATGGGGGTGGAGACGCTCTTTCAGGTACGCAGGGCCAAGTTGAGAGTTGATTGTGAGAAATAAGGTACGAAGATTCATTCGGGCCGTCTTCCGAGGAGCTCATCAGTTTTAAGCCCCTCAGAAAAAGGGGGTGGTGGAAAAAAGATAAAGACGAGATTAAAAGCAGGGGTGAAGACATGTCATAAAGCTCTTGGGACTGTAGCCAGTCAGTGGTGTGATCTGACTGCAGTAAAAGAAGTCATGCGAACCGATAGACTTCATTCTGCACTGATCAGACATTGTCGTGTGTACTGTAATTGGTTCTGGATGCCACACTTTAAGAATGATACAGGCAAATCTGAACAGGCTTATAGGAAGGCAGTGAAGATGCTATATAAAAGTGGTCTTATGAGGGGGGTTGAAGGGACGCAGGTGGCGCTGTGGTCTAAACCACAGAGCCTAGGACTTGCCGATCAGAAGGTCAGCAGTTCGAATCCCCGCGACGGGGTGAGGTCCCTTCTCCTGCCAACCTAGCAGTTCAAAAACACGTCAAAGTGCAAGTAAATAAATAGGTACTGCTACAGCGGGAAGGTAAACGGTGTTTCCGTGCGCTGCCCTGGTTTGCCAGAAGCGGCTTAGTCATGCTGGCCACATGACCCAGAAGCTGTCTGCGGACAAACACCAGCTCCCTCAGCCTGTAAAGCAAGATGAGCACCGCAACCCCAGAGTTGTCTGCAACTGGGCTTAACTGTCAGGGGTCCCTTTACCCTTCCTTTATGAGTGGGGTTGAAGGAGCAGCATGTTTAGACTGGAGAAGATGAGGACCAGGGTGGAGCTTGGGACGATAATAATAATAATAATTTATTATTTATACCCCGCCCGTCTGGCTGGGTTTCCCCAGCCACTCTGGGTGGCTTCCAACTGAATATTAAAAACAGTACAGCATCAGACATTAAAAACATGATAGCACCCTCCAAATACCTGAAGTACCATCACACCGAAGAGGACCAAGACTTGTTCTCCGTTGCTCCAATGGGCAGGACTATCTTAAAAGGAGGGTATTTTGGTTGAGATTCCTAGAATAGTTCAACAAACCATCTCTCTTCACAGGGAATTATGGGACTTGTTGCTCTGTAAGGGGTCTCCCTAACAACTCCCAGCATGCTTCACAAACTACACTTCCCAGAATCCTTTGGGGGAAGCCATGACGGTGTGAAATGGTGCCCTGGTGCCATAAGTGTATGGCATGACTCTGGCCCAGCATTCTGGGGCATAAAACTGGGGAATACACCCTGTATAATAAGCATGTCGGTTGGTTGTGTGTCTTCTTCTTTCAGTCACTCCCAAAGGTGCAGCGGCTCAAGTCTCATCCTCAGGGTTCAGCGCAGGCAGCTTCATCGGCGGCATCGTCTTGACGCTGGGACTTCTTGCGGTTGGCTACATCGGATGCAGGACGTACCACGCGAAACGGGGCGTCCAGTACCGAACCATGTATGTAGCGGTCGGTGGAGTGTTTCTTTGCTGACCTAGATTATGTTGGTTTTAATTTTTGTGTTGTGTCGCTTTGAGTTTACTTTTTTGTGACTAATAGGTTCCAACAAAACAAACAAACTTAAGAGGCCTCAGGTTCGATCCCTGGCCAGCTCCATGTATGAAACCTTGGGGAGCCCATGAATGGATCTAAATGGATCTAAATTGTCTGGCACGGTGCAAGGCAACACTCTGCATTCATAGCCTTTGTGGCTCCAGTGAGCATCCAAAGCGTAAGGTGTGGTATCCAGTGCTGCTCCTACTCAGAGTAGACCCACTGGAGTTAATGGGCATGGCTCAAGGTTCATTAAGGTCCGTGGGTCTACTCCGAATTGTAGTTAGTTGAACGCAGCCCATTGCGTGTGCCCTGGCAGTGCTGTGCTAGTATCCTCCTGCGACATTTTTGCAGAACTCCTGGGCCCCAAAAATGGCATTATACTGCCTCTGACTGCAGATTCACCCTCCTGGTGTCCCCTTGGACTAGGCTCACAATCTTCGCACATTTAATGCAGCGCAGGAACAAGTGCTCTAGTGACCCAAATGCCTGCCTGTGTTTTCATCCATGCTGCAGTTTTTGTCCCTGTTCTAGGCAAGACCAGCACGAACGCCACATTCCTTTGTGCTCCTGTCTAACCATGAAAGCCCTTTTTTGTTTGTTTGCTTGCTTGCTTGCTTGCTTCGTTTTATTTCGTTTGATGGCTTCCTTTGATTTAAATCTACATCGGGAGGCCAGGCTCTCTGTGACATCCCCTCTTTTGAACTCCCTCAGCCACCTTGCTGCCCTCTTAGCTTCTGCTGCTTATCAGCGATAAACTTCCGTCCCTCCCTGCTGTTCGTAAAAAAACCCCACCTTATGAATGTGCACGTAGTCCCGTCTTGTTTCAGAATTGCTTCTTGCGTTAGCCCTTGAACAAAACTAAACTCCTCAGCAGTGCTGTCGGACTCTGAACGTTGAGGAGAGTGTTGGTGAGCTCTTTAGATTGGATGTGGGGAACTTTCGGCCCTCCAGATTTCTTGCATAAGTTCTTGGAGGCCAGACTAGTGACTGGGAGCAGCCACCAGGACCATATAACACAGATCCTAAAGGATCTACACTGGCTCCCAGTACATTTCCAAGCACAATTCAAAGTGTTGGTGCTGACCTTTAAAGCCCTAAACGGCCTCGGCCCAGTATACCCGAAGGAGCATCTTCACCCCCATCATTCAGCCCAGACACTGAGGTCCAGCTCCGAGGGTCTTCTCAGCACCCACCCTGTAGGAACACTCTGCCATCAGTTGTCAATGAGATAGGAAACTATTTGACTTTTAGAAGACCTGTTCAGGGAAATTTTTAAGGGTTGATGTTTCATGACGTTTTTCATATATTGTTGGAAGCCGCCCAGAATGGTTGGTGTAACCCAATCAGAATAATAATAGTAGTAGTAATAGTAATAATAATATAGCCATGGTAGCTATACTCAGCCTCTTTGGTCAGAGGCTACATACTTCTGAATACCAGTTTGCTGGAAACCACACAAAAGAGTACTTCTGCACTCGTGTCCTGCTGGCAAGTTTGCCCCATACATCTGTTTGGCTACTGAGGATGCCATAGAATTATAAGAGTTGGAAGGGACCCAAGGGTCATCTATGACAGGCTTCCTCAAACTCAGCCTTCCAGATGTTTTGAGACTACAATTCCCATCATCCCTGACCAGAGGTCCTGCTAGCTAGGGATCATGGGAGTTGTAGGCCAGAAACATCTGGAGGGCTGAGTTTGAGGAAGCCTGATCTATGACATACTCGATGACCAACAAGTTCACCTTATGTCCAGGTGTTTCTGAACTACAACTCCCATCAGCCTTAGCAAGCATAATAATAATAATTTATTATTTGTACCCCGACCATCTGGCTGAGTTTCCCCAGCCACTCTGGGCGGCTTCCAACAAAGATGAAAAATACATTAAAATGTCACACATTAAAAACTTCCCTGAACAGGGCTGCCTTCAGATGTCTTCTAAATGTTAGGTAGTTGTTTCTCTCTTTGACATCTGATGGGAGGGCGTTCCACAGGGCCGGCGCCACTACCGAGAAGGCCCTCTGCCTGGTTCCCTGTAGCTTTGCATCTCGCAACGAGGGAACTGCCAGAAGGCCCTCGGCGCAGGACCTCAGCGTCCGGGCAGAACGATGGGGGTGGAGACGCTCCTTCAGGTATACTGCCAGGGATGGTGGGAAGTTCAGCAACCTCTGGAGGGCTAACTATTCCCCACACCTTTAGATGCCTAGGTGCATTATTCCACTTGTTTCAAAATGTGCAAAGCCATGTTCCGGGCGCACCTCCTCCTCATTCTTCTGGGGGGAGGATTGGACCTTTGCTCCAAAGTCAACTATCTTTAGGACAAAAGAAGAGGAATTGGCATGCCGGACATTGCCATTCCTTCTCAGCGAGCTCAGCCTGTTTTATCTTTGCATTTGTTTATTTGCAGTTCCAGACTCCCATTTATGCATGGAATGCTCAGCCCAAGGCAGGCTTCAGTGGGGGGGGGGGGGGTCCATCTAATCTCGACCATCCAGAGGTTTCCTTGCACTTAGCTTTGATGTGCTGTAGTGATCAAGCTGTGTTTTGCCAGTGCATTCATGCACATTTGTACGTGTGTGTGCAAGATCTTTCTGACACTCTTGCGCATGTATATATCCTTAACACATTTTCCTTGTTAACGTAGCTGGCTCCGTCATTCTCCCCCCCCCTCCATTTTTTAAAAGTAATGCTTAAAAATCCCTCATGTGTCCGCTACTTCTGCCCCCATATTAAGTAGGAAAATTCCAAGGATTGGGGAGGGTATGTGGACAGAGGGAAGAACCACACATGGCAGTATTTATTTATTGAATTTATATCGCGACCTTCCTCTCTAAGGAACCCAGGGCATCAGACAGACAAACTATCGAAAAAGAAAACAAAGCAAAAACATTCTAAAATAAGTTATAAACATTCTTCTATCCACTTGCCAGGGACGGTGTTTTTCTGCTGCCAAATGCCTGGGTAAACTGAAATTCAGATTCCTCCTGAAGGTTAATAATGATGAAGACAGACTCACCTTGCTAGGGAGCACATTCCACAAGCAGGGAGCTACCACTAAAAAGGCCCTGTCATGGGTTGGCACCAACCAAGGAGACCTTGGTGGGGGCACCAGCAACAAGGCTGTACACAGTACTGTGTCGCAGGGGGCCTATTCTGCTGCTCTCCCCTTCCCCACCCAATTTTGTAAGAGAGGGAACCCATTAATTGGGTTCGATCTCTGTTGGTAGTCCCTTCCCTTCCTACAGGCTTGAGCATCATTGATCGGTCAGTGATTTCCTGCTTTTTCACTTCACAGTGCAGCATTATCTCTAGCTGTCTTGGCTTCAGAAACATGAGCAGCTGCCTTATACCAGATCACATAATTAGTGGTAAACCTCTGGGATTCCCTGCTACTGGATCTTTTTAAGTGAAAATGCTAGAGAATAAGGCTTGGGTCCAACTGTACAGTGCACACTGCTCAACAGTGGTCACTCACCATGGGCTGTGGCTCGAACCCATAAGGTGGCCTTCCCCAAGGGGGTTCCCTCCAGATGTTTTGGGCTACAACTACATCACCTGAGGCTGATGGGTGTTCTAGGCTGAAACATCTGGCAAGCACTGCATTGAGAAAGACTGTCATAAAAAAGACTTCACGCTTACATGTCACAGATACCCCAGGTAACTTGAGTCTATTCTATTTATGACATTTTTAGTCACAGTGTAATCAGCTTACACTGAAACCAGTTAAAAACAATGGAAAACATTCCAACCAAGGAAGAGTAGCAGATGAAACTAATGGACTGTTCTGAAATGTCAGAAACTCGCTGGAAGAATCGGAAACCAGGAAGAAACAACTTTTAATAAAGAACGGGGGGATTGTGTAAACTGTTTGGAAAATTATTGTGTACAAATAGGATCATCTTAAAACTCATAGTTAAAACTATTGACTAAGAAATAGTGAGAGAATAAATGAAAATTGGACTATTGAGGAGATGCAGTAAGAAAATTATAACCGAAGGAACCACGAAAGAAAATTATAACCAAAGGAACCTCCTTGGGGAGGGAAGCCAAATAGGATATTTGTATTGGATGTTTGTTTGAAAAATTGAAAAAAATAAAAAAAAATTTTTACAAAATAAAAACAATGAAAACCGAAAAGCCAGAACACCACAAGTAAGCCGTATACTAAGAAGGTCTGCTACACACAATATATGGAGTGATGCTTCCTCAGTGTAAATTTAATACTTAATGTTGTCTTCTTTTTTCTAGTGACGAACACGATGCCATAATTTAAAGCCTTCACTCAGAAGACAAAGATGAAACCCCACTCCTGTTCCTGCTTTTCCCCCTACGGAAAACAAGCCTTAAACTGTCCAGAGCCTACACTGGGTGCTTAATTGCTTTTTGGGGGGGTGTACCTTTCTGTAAAATTATGGGGGACCCAGATTCTGCAAGGATTTTGGAAATTTCAAAGTGCCTTCACTGAAGAGTTCTGAGGACCGTCTACACAATTGGTCCCTACTTGGGGACTGAAGACATGAGCTTAGTTAAAAGTTGCGACTTCTTAGCCATTACACGCTGAAAATCAGGGGATGTGGGCTCCACAACAGAACACAATGCTGTGAACATGCTTATGTCTACCACTCTTAAAGTTACGTTGTCCTTCTGTTCAGCAAATAAACCAAGCTTCTGTTTTCAAGATGGCAGGTGAATCCAAAAGCAACCTTTTTCACGTTGCTCTTCTTCAATTTGTGGAATGAGGTTGTTTGGGCAGGGAGAAAAGTATTTTTGTTAATGATCTGACGTTGCATGTGCCTTGAATTTTTGAGGAAAATATTTTTCTACTTTTAGCATATACAAGGGTGCGTGAAAGGGTTTTTTCATTTGGGCAGGAGAATTGTTTGCTTTCTTTCATTTACCTTGTGTGTGTGTTTTATAATGATGCATCGTCTGTTTTCTAGTCCCTGCTGAGTTGGAGGTATATAATTCCAGTTAATTTTCAGCGCAACCTCTCACCACAAAAGCAAAGACCAGAATAATTGCTCCGCAGGTTCCGTGTGTGGTGAAATCTTATCCGATTCAGTACAGTGTGTCATATGAATTGGCTGTGTGGGACAGTGGAATACATGTTGCCTGCCTGCCTGATATATACAGTTCCTTGACTAGTTCATTGCTTGAATTCAGGCTTGTGTCTGTTAAATGTCGTTGAGAAGAAAGGCAGATTCGTAAGAAAGCTTCCACTGGGGATTATTTAAACTTGAATACATTCTGGGGATGTTTAACGAACGAATCACTGTTTTGATATATATTTCTTTTCCTGCTCTTGCCTCTGTTCTTTTTTTTATTTCATAGCATAACATTTACCAGATGCAAAAGAGGGGAGTGCAGGCTTGTCCATGAGCTGTAATTCCTGTTCCAAGGAACTAGTTTGCATTGTCACGCTAAGCCACAGTTTGTTTTAAACCGTGGCTTCATCGCAGACCCCAGCAGCTACCATAAATAAGCCATAGTATGGCTTGTGTTGCGCAAACAAGGACTGTGCTTCATAGGAAGCTGTTTCAGAGCTGTGGTGCCTTAAGCTCTGGCTCTCCAGAGTTTCGACAGGGGGCATTCCCAGCTCTTCCTGCAGATGCCGGTCATTGGACCTGGGACCTTCTAGTTTTGCACAGTGACAGTATTGTAGCCAATGAGGTTAATCCGAGGCACGATTATTGCTGATTGGACCTGGGACTTTCTGTGTGCAAAGTAAGATGCTGTGCTACTAAGCTGTGGCCCATCCCTAAAACCACGAGCCATGAAACAGAAGGGGGTAAAGCCAATATTTATTCTGGGTTTATTTCTTGCTTTTCACTCGTGTTGTGTTTGGAACAATCAGAGCACTGGGTTTGCATGACATGTCCAGCCATGTTGTGCACATTGACGATTAAGCCATCATTTGTAACAAAATATGGCTCAGCATGGCATGCAAACCAACGTAATTTCAACTCTCTAAAAAGAGCTGTTCTCTGTCTCCAGCCTTGCTTGCTGCTGAGGAAAATTATGCACTGTTCACAGAGAGAAGGGAAGCTTAAACTCCTTTCATTTGGGGGCATCTCCTCCTCCTAGTTAGGACACAAAACTTCCTCCCAAGCTCCTGAATGTAGCCAGCAGACTTTCTCTTGCCCTCATGACTCCGACATCAGGTGCACATAAGGCCTTTTCTACTTCCCTCCCTTTTTGCATGGATGTAACTACAGATTATGGGACGCGGGTGACGCTGTGGGTTAAACCACAGAGCCTAGGACTTGCCGATCAGAAGGTCAGCGGTTCAAATCCCCACGACGGGGTGAGCTCCCGTTGCTCGGTCCCTGCTCCTGCCAACCTAGCAGTTCGAAAGCACGTCAAAGTGCAAGTAGATAAATAGGTACCACTCCAGCAGGAAGGTAAACAGTGTTTCTGTGCGCTGCTCTGGTTCACCAGAAGCGGCTTAGTCATGTTGGCCACATGACCCGGAAGCTGCACGCCGGCTCCCTCGGCCAATAAAGCGAGATGAGCGCCGCAACCCCAGAGTCGGCCACGACTGGACCTAATGGTCAGGGGTCCCTTTACCTTTTTGACTGTACAGATTGCAGTGGAGTTCATACCTAAGTTGTTTTGAAATCTCTCTTTTTTAAAAACAAACAAACACAGAGAGTAATTAGCCAATGCACTTGTTTGTTTGCTTGCTGTTAATGTGCCCAATGGTCTCTGATTGCATATCAAAAGTTCCCTGAAGTTGATGGGGGGCAATTGCATCTGTTTCATCTCAGAAAAGAACATACTAGTTTTTCACCACATCTTCGGTGGAAGATTATTGAAACTACTGCAATGTTCCAAGATATAAGAAGCAGAAGAAAGCATCACGGGGCTGGTTAATAGCTAAAGGCTGTCGAGCAATGCTATACTTACCATGGGCGAGTCTGTAAATTTTTTTTAACAAACACTTCCCAAGGGAAGCAGCTGGCACTATATATAGAAGCATTGTGTAATGGTGATTGTTGTGAATGCATCCAGTCTCCATGTACCTATAGGATGTTCCTAACAACCACTGCTAAGGGATGGATATTCATGATTGACAAATATCCCTCCAGGAAGCATATCTCAGTATTGCAAGTGGGAGTTCCTTTGAGTTACTTAGAAAACCCTTTGCTCTATTTAGCAGTTTTAAACCAGTTCAACGGACATTGCTTCTTCCTGAAGAATCTTGGCAACTAGGAAGTACATCTCCCGTTCCCAATCCCCATATTGCAATTCCTAGATTTTAGAATCAGTGTGAAGCTGGTATCTGTTTGTCAACAGGCTTCTGGGAGCTTTTTTGTAATCCTCTTCCCCACCCCCCTTTCCCTCAAAAAAAGTTTAATATTTAATATGCAAGAGTGCTTACTGTTAAAATGATGGAGTCTGTTCATTGAACAAGAAGATTGGGGATTGGGTTTCCATCTATTTTTAAAAAGATGAAACAATTAGATAGATGATGCTCCAACCCCCCATTTTTCCCTCTGATGTGACAAGGATGCAAATTGTTCTGAGTAATTGTAATGAACGTTCTTTTTTCTACCAAACAGTTGCCAGATTTATTCCAGAGGTTTTCAATATTTTTGAGTCCACGGCTCCCTTGACCAACTACATTCTTTCTGCATCTGCCCTGGGGAGAAATGCTCTCTGAGCCTTAGAAGCCCAGTTATGTCCCCCCCTTGCCTGCAGAGCTGGCAGCCTCTCACCCTTTTCCAAACACCCTCCCTTGTGGATTGTTCCTTCAGCCTCCTCTCCCCTCTCCTTGGGAGTCCTCTGAGCTGCCACAGCTACCGCCCCTGCTCTCTGAGCTGCCCTCCCCCCAAAGAGAGGTGCCTCCTCACACTGCTCCACAGGGGCCTGGGAAGCACCCCCTAGCCAGCCCTAGAGACACCATTTGCCTGGGGAGCTTGTAGCCAGGGCTGCTGCAACAAACAGCTGTGCAAGCCTTTGGGAGGCAGAGACGCAAGAGGGCATCCAAGGAGGGAGGGAAGGGAAGGAAAGGGAGACACACTGTTTGAAAACCACTGCTTTATTCAGTTAAACTTGAGGGCCTTTATTCAACATTTTGCAACAGCTGGTAAGAAATACTCAGTTTCTGTATTTGACGGTTTCTTGTTGTCACCTACCTGCAGTATATATTTGATTTATCTCATTTTTTTTTCTGCTGCCCTTCACTCACAGAAATAAAGGTTAATGAAAACGTTCGTTTGCAATCTGAGTGCTTTAAGGGATCTTGGAGGTTACTCCCAAGCCTACCTTCTCAGCATGTTTGCATTCCTGTCTGTGGTGTAGTGGTTAAGAGCAGTAGACTCGTAATCTGGTGAACCCTGTTCGCTTCCCCGCTCCTCCACATGCAGCTGCTGGGTGACCTTGGGCTAGTCACACTTCTCTGAAGTCTCTCAGCCCCACTCACCTCACAGAGTGTTTGTTGTGGGGGAGGAAGGGAAAGGAGAATGTTAGCCGCTTTGAGACTCCTTCGGGTAATGATAAAGTGGGATATCAAATCCAAACCACTACTATTACTACTACTACTACTTCTACTACTTCATGACGTCTTTGCCAGCTTGGTCCTATCCACAGAATGGAAGATGGCAGAATCCCCAAGGTGCTCTACAGGGAGCTGACTTCAGGCAGCAGGAGCGTTGACTGACCAACTCTGTGTTACAAAGATGTCTGCAAATGTCTCATGAAGGCTGGCAACATCAACTCTGCCCTGTGGGAATCCCTTGCAGTGCCTGGAGACAGGTAGCTCCATCCAACAGTGTGACTTCATCCCCAAAGGTGCATTCCTCCATTGTATCCTGAGACAGGCTGATGCCAACAACAGCACATTTATTACTCAGTAGGGTGGGGTGTCCATATATATATATCGTTCTATAATGCTCAAATGAGACAGAGGTCCCCATAGCACTGAGGAGCGTATGATCCAGTGGAGAATCTGTGTTCTAGGTGTTGCTGAACTCACGCTGCCATCATTCTTGACCTTCAGCCATGTTAGCTGGGACTGATGGGAACTGGAGCTGAACCAAACCTGGAGGACAACAGCTTTCTCCACCCCGATCTTGTGTAAGGCCTGATTCTCGTATTGCTAATTATGCAGAGCCACTATGGGTCACCTTGGTGCATCTCAGTGCTCCCTCGTGTGGCAAGATAAGACATATTGTGGCCAGGTAAAGTACAGAATTTCACAAGTGCGACCTGCAGTGACACGTTACAACATGGATTGCCCCTGCTCAGGGTTTCAGCCAAGCCTTTTCCCTTCCACTTTCGGCAGTCGTCAAGCATTCTACGTTCATGGAGCATGCTCAGTCTTTGCTGGACTTGGCTGAGCCCCCCACCCCAATGTTCTTTGGTCTTCTGCAAGGGCCATGCCAACTCAGCTCATTCTATGCAGAGAGCCGCAATACCTCAAGGACTGCCTCTCCATACATGAACCAACCCTACTCTTCCATCCTTGGAAGCCAGACCTTTCTTGGGTGCAGGAGGAAAGGAAGAAGTCAGGAAGTTCTGGAAAAACTTGGGAAGTTGCCATATACCAAGGCAGACCAAGGGACCATCTAGCTCAGGCGTAGCCAACATTGAGAACCTCCAGATATTTTTGGACTACATCTTCCATCATCCCTGACTATTGGCCATGTTGCATTGGGCTGATGAGAGTTGTAGTCCAAAGCATTGGGAGAGCACCACATTACCCAACCCCTGAGCTAACTTATTAATATCTGCACTGCCAGGCAGTGGCTTTCTGGGGTCTGAAGCTATTTCAAACCTGGTGGTGGAATCTGGGTCCTCATTGCACAGCACGACCATCACTGAGCTACAGTCCATCCCTTATTCACACGAATTAAAGAGCAGCTGAGAAATGATCACTCAGGATGAGGTTTCTTAGTGGCCTAATCTTTCCTGCCCTTTAACATAAACAGGAGGTTTTATGATGCTGACTTTCTGAAACCTTCCCCAGCCATTCAGCCTTTGCTTAGGAAACTGGTGTTTATCTTTGCCTTTTGTCTGCCTGGGTCTGTTCAAAACTGTTGTGCAAAAAAATTATATATAAAGGTCACAGGGAGTTCAGTCCTGCACAGCAGTTAAGCATTCCTATTTTTGCAGCAGTTCCTCAAGCAGGGCTGTCAGAAATGGTTTGTTTTATTTTCAAAGCTTTGACACTTTATTTTCAAAGCTTTCAACATCCGTGTGAGTGGGAAGGAAATTCACTTTGTTCCAGTTACGACGAACATTTCTATAGCTAAATATGTTGTGCATTCTAGCTATAAGGGACTAAATTCATCCAAGCACTGATTATATATCCACATACCAACTCTTGAAACACCCAAGAGGCTTCCAATTCCTGCATTCCCTCCCACTCCAGCCCGTTCCCTGCCAAAATGCTCAACATTCTGCTCAAACTCAAAAGGCTGCGACTGGGAAGTGTTGCAAATTCATGTTTATAAATGTGCATATTTTAAATCCTGCACATGTGGGGGAAACTTGCCCCTTGTATGGATAGTGCCATAAAGTTTAGCCACTAGGTGGTGCTGGACATAGCTGTCTGCTGGGTGGAAGTCAGCAAACTTTTTCAACAGGGGGCTGGTCCACTGTCCCTCAGACCTTGTGGGGGGCCGGACTGTACTTTGGTGGGGAAATGAACGAATTCTTATGCCCCACAAATAACCCAGAGATGCATTTTAAATAAAAGGACACATTCTACTCATGTAAAAACACCAGGCAGGCCCCACAAATAACCCAGAGATGCATTTTAAATAAAAGGACACATTCTACACATGTAAAAACATGCTGATTTCCGGACCGTCCGCGGGCCGGATTTAGAAAGTGATTGGGCCGCATCCGGCCCCCAGGCCTTAGTTTGCTAACCCATGCTCTTGTGTTTATTCTGTCCTTGATGGAGAAAAGCCAATGCAGACTGCACAAAGAAAACACAAACGCAGATTATATTCCATTGAGATCAGACATGGAATATTAGATAGAAATTAACCAGGAACGAATAATCACCAAATGCACAGGCAGTACCTGAAAACCAAGTTCATCTAGGGCAGTTTTCCAAGATAGTGATGTTATTACTCGGATTGTCACTTGCTCTCTCTGAGTTACACAGAAGCCTTCAAGATTTGGAGCTGAATGGCTGAATAAACTGAACTAATGTGATTCATTTAATTGTTGATGATCTCAATTAAAAGGCTGTGTGTGTGTGTTTATAGTGCCAGCATATATCAGGGAAGTGGAACCACAGGGCAGGGCCAGGGGCAAATGTTTTGCCCTCTTTTGCACCTTTTACATGTTTTTGTCTGGCTAGAATGTGATGCATCTCGCCTGTCTACACAGAGCAAGGTGGAGGTTGAGAAACCACTGACATTTGCAAGGTTGGAGTATAGGTAAAAGTGACATCCATTGCTTCACCCACTTCCATCTCTTCCACCAGTGGCATGAAGCATTTGAAATGCTTCCCATGAGCTAATGCAGACCCTGGGATGAAAAGCCGCTCAAAACTTAAGTTGTATTTAGAAACATCAAAATAGTTTTTCCTTTTATTATATTTAAGCTTCTAGCATCACAAAATCCTCGTATAATATGAAGACTTTGCAAAAAGATACATCTTCCATTAGAGTAGATTCTGCTAGGCGATGAACCAGTTTAACAAGAACACACACCCTGTTAATATGCAACATGGGCTGTAGGTGCCTATATTCCTCTTAGTTTCTCTGTGGCTCTAATGCAATCATAGGTAATAGGGATGCAAATATTATTGCCACGTATGCAGAAAAGTATGTTTGCTTACGTTTTGACACAGCCAATAAGAACGACGAAGGCAACAAGTTTTTTTCTGAGGCTTAAAATTGAGGAGACCATAGAGGGACACACACACACACACACACACACACACACACACACAACACCTGTTAAAGTTAAAAAGTTGTTATAACAACCTCTTTTGACTGGAAATAGTGAAGGGAGAGGAGCCACCAAATAGATTTGGTCTCATAGTAACAGAACAAACTCCCTCTGCTGCAACCAAGTATAATGGCAGGCAGCTAAAAGATGACAATATAGATGCATCTGGTACTCCCAAAACAAGTCTAGGAGTGTCCAAACACTTTAAATTACTGTTTCCAAACACACACACCCCACACACCAATTTGTCACATGCAGCATGCGCTAAATTGGAACCGCATAGGGTGTGATAAGGGGAAGCAGCTGCAGCAGTAGCAGTAGAACAAACACAGAATTATTTAGTTTCTGGCACCCTGATGCAGCACCTCATTTAATTTTTTTAAATTTTCCACAGGATCTAGCAATGTTAGGTGCTTAAGAAACATTTTACGAAGTTCAGCAAAAAGTTCAGTTAGAATCATCTGTTGCCTTCAAAGTTGTCCTTATGCACTGCTAGCTACTTGGCGCGTGTCCTTTAGGTTTTGACCAGCCTGCACCAGAAGCCTCAGCAACTATCACACACAACGATGCCAGTGTTTATACGTATGAGCAAGAGCCCAATGTAGCATACATGACATTATACTTAAATTCCTTTGGATCCGTTCCAATTTTTCACTCACATTGCACATGGAGTGCTATTGGACTCATGTCCTGTTTGTGGGCTTCCCATGGGCATCTCGCTGCCCACTGTCAAGAGCACAATTATTGGAGTAGCTGATCATTTACTCTGACCTAGCAAGACTTAAAATAGATCTCTCATATCTCACACACAAATCTCTCACATCTTCCCAGGAGACGGAAGAGGGTTTAATTGATGCAGTACGTGGTCATGACTGCTTACATTGGAATCCTGCTTTTCCAAATGATCTGACAGCATGCATCAAGGGTGGCTAACATTTGTCCCTCCAGATGCTGTTTGACTGCAATTTCCATCATTACTGCCTTCTCGGTAGTGGCACCCACCCACCAGGTGTCAAAAAGATAAGACAACTGCACAACTTTCTGAAGGCAGCCCCTTATTGACAAGGTTTTTAATGTCTCATGTTTGGCTGTTTTTAAGTTGAAAGCTACCCAGAGGGGCTGGATATAAATAATTATTACTATTATTCTTCTTCACAATGTTGGCTGGGGCTGATGGGAGTTTTGAGTCCATCAGCTGCAAAATCACAGGCTAGCGTATATTATGGTTATTACATCGAGATTATCTTCACTTAGGGGCCTGAAAGGGGCACTTGCTGTCTCAGCGTAACAATGTTATAACTAGATGGGGATTCAAATTGGGCAAGCCAAATGCATTATCTACTACATTGGCTATCAATTGCCCCCCACCCCACCCCGGGCTTGTGATGCTAGAAAAGCTATTGTTAAGTGAACTTTATGATCAAGGAGCACAATTCCAACAATATTGGAAAGTCTATATGGCCACTAGAAGGCAAATATCTGAAATCAGGAGAACACATGGGTGAGGGCACTGTAGTGACTAGCTATTGTTTAAACACAAGTATTTGGGAGCTGCATCCTACTTAAGATTTTAAAAACACATGTATAGATCTATAATACGGACAGTGTCTAAAACAGTTTTTCCTTCCCTTTAGTGATGGTAATGGAGCAAGTCTGAAAATGAGGCTGAAAACAAATTCCAACAATGTTCCTTGAACAACTTTTAATATTAAGTTTATTTTACAAATAATTTTTTAACATTATCAGATCATGTATAAAGCAACGTAGCACAAGTCTTTTGCATTGAACCTTGGTGGTATATAGTTTGTCCTATGACCAACTCAAGCAATACCTGCATAGATGCTTCAATTATCAAACTTCTGCTCATAATTCAGTCAGTTATCAGGGATGCGACTCCAGCTCCCCCGTCACTCACAGTCAGCAGGGCCTATAGCTAAAGTTAATGGGAGCTACACTAAAACAACATATGGTAAAGCTACAGGTTCCTCAAATGTGGTCTATATAAAATATATTTCAGATTAACCAGTTATACATATCAGAAAGCTTCCCAATAGGTTAACAAATAATCAACAGCTACTTTTGTGAACCACAAACTGTAACACACCCTGCAAGGTTGCTCACTCCCATCTTCAGTAACATTTGGTTCCAAGGCACTACAAAGCTAGACTGGATTAGCAATCCAGTCATTTGAGAAACAATAACTGACCCAAAAAGGTGCCCACTGGGCTGCAGTGTGAGGATCTTGCTGATCAAACTCATTTTATGCCCTTCATGAAAGAAATGTCCGCACTGTACCCTTGATTGTCCCTCTGCATATAGGGCATTTTCTAAGGGAAGGGGCACATTCTTTACACACAACTAAGTGACCACATGGGATGAAGACAATGGACACTTCCTTGTCCATGCAAACTTTGCATGTTCTCTCTTCTTGCAATCGTCTCAGCTGTTCTTCCATGGGCAAGCCTGCAAAGGAGAAAACATATGTTATATATGTTCCAAATTGCTGTATTTTACAACACAAAGAAATACCACTGTTTCCAAGTCTCTCCCCCTCCATCCCAAAAACTCCCTTTGTTTTCTTTTTCTGCATCCACCAATACATGTTGGAGTTATTCTAACTGACGAAGAGCCTTCAAAATCAGAGCTTTAGTTTTCCTGAAGGTGGAGCCATTCAGAAACTGCTCACAAAAATGATTCAAAAAGCAAATGTGAAGGTGTGCTTCATGATGCTATTCTTGCAACAAATGTGAAGGCGGCATTTCCTATAGGGGAAAGACGTGGAGGCTCCAGATAACAAACTACCAGGGATGTGCAGAAGGCAAGTTTCCATTTCATTCTTGTTACAAGAAGAAAGGACTGGAATGTACTCAAAATCATGGCACCTGCCTAGACTTCTTAAACTGTGATTTCAAACTGCAGAAGCAGGAAAACTTTTATACAGTGGCACCTCGGTTTTCGAACGTCTCGGAAGTCAAATGTTTTGGCTTTTGAACGCCGAAAACCCAGAAGTAACTGCTTCAATTTGTGAACACTTTTCAGAAGCCAAATGTGCTATGTGGCTTCCATATTGAGTTTTCCAGATGTAAATGCATGCTTTGGTTTTCAAACATTTAGGAAGTTGAACTGTCTTCTGGAATAGATTACATTCGAAAACCGAGAAACCACTGTATATGGTGCTTCTCTATACCAAGTATCTGAAACTATTTAAAATGCGAGTTTTAAAATTTATTTTTATAAGCAATCCATATTATTTCAAATGGTGCCCAGTGTTATTTTAGTGAATTCAGTTTTTACCTGAAACATCTTCTGTCGGAATATAAGGCATTTTCTTCTCCTCTAAAAAAATAAATAAAAAATAGTTCTGTTCAATAAACGTAAGACTTCCTGCAAGCAATAAGCTGCCATACTAATCGACAGGGTTCTATGGTTTCCGGCATACAATCCCTAAAGCAAGGCCAATGACCTCTATTACTGCTCTGAATTATAACATGCTAAGTCTGTCAACTCTCAGAGAAGTGGCAATTAGATGTTAACCAGCACATTCTTTTCTCAAACTCACCGAACAAGTCTTTGTATAATACAAAATCGCACTCTTGTAAACAGTTTCTGAATATGTTTGCAGCTGTGTTTCCTTTCACCAAGATGGTATCAATCAGTTCTCTCGCTTGCAGTGGTGTCTGGGTTTTTTGTTTAATAACATGGTATTCAATGTCAGTTATTACTTTGGATGTTAATAAACTTTCAAGGATAGGAAGCACACATGTCAAGCGCTGAAACAATGCATTTCGGTTCTTCCTGATTAAGGACAGATCTAAAATATAAATAATGAAAAATGATTATAGTTCAATTTGTTTAGCATTGGAAGATTTAATGAGAAATTTTGAAATCACAAGAGGGTGGGGGAGAATGGAATTGAAAATAATTTATGCTTCTGAAACAAGTTTAGGTATGATAAAGAAAATACAACATTTCAACATTCACAAAGCCTGCAGGTCTTCCTCCCCAGCCTTCCCTCACCTGAAAAATGAATGTCCCAAAAGGTTGGAAGAAAGTTGAATTATGCTTTAAGAACAATTTTCTTATGTGTTAACTTAGCATATAAAAAGAGTATACTGTCTGGTGTACTGATAAAATGGATTGGGAGTGAATGTGGACAAAGCATTTGCATTGTATCATATTTACGTAGCTAGCCTATTCTGGACCAAATGAAGTTTCCAGGCCATTTTAAAAGGCAGCCCCACATTTAATAAATTGCAATAATCCAACTATGAGGTTACCAGAGCATGGATAACTGTAGCAAGGTTCTGTCCAAATAGGGCTGACACTGGCAAATCAGTGAAAGATGACAAAAGGCACACCAAGAGCACTTCAAGTTATGAGTCTGCTTCTTTAGGATTAGTACAATGCCATCCAGAGAAGACTGATCACTACCTAATTGGGTAAACCAGCCACCAAACAACAGTACCTCCAACTTGCCTGAACTGAATTTCATTTAGGCTCACAGGTAGAATAATAGTTTCCAAGTTACAGGAAGTAAAAGTCACAACCTTATTTTGCATTCACTTGACACACGGGGGGAGGGGGGGAGAGTGGTGCAGCACCAGCCATTTGGTTGGCAGGAGCATGGCTTCCGATGCCGCGGCGAGCGATCTGGGGGGTGTTTCCTGCCCACAGCTGCATTGGGGGGGGGGGGGAAAGCTGCGCACCGCCGACCAGCTCTTTGATGGGAGCGCAAATTCACCCGATGCCGCTGTGCACGGGAAGCACTCCCTGGATCATTTCCCATGCACGGAGGCGTCGGGGGAGGTTGCACTCCTGCAAACTGGATGGCTGGAGGGAGTGCAAATTCACCTGATGCCACTGTGCATGGGAAACATTCTAGGGAGTGTTTCCTGCCTGAAGCTGCATGGGGGGAGAGGCTCAACAACTTTGGGCCATCTCCCCTCACTTTCTTAAAATTTAGTCCCCCCAAATGGGGGGGTGTCCTTATACAAGGGGGCGTCTTATAGATGGGAAAGTACGGTATTTAGCCCAGAGGTTGATAGAGACAGTAACACAATTCAAATACCTGATGGATTGTCATCTAGCGACCCTAGATGGCAGGACTAGATCTAATGAAAGCAATTTGATAATAGAATCCTTGAGGGCTGTGGGCTCTTCCCTTCTGGGAATCTTCCAAGTAGAAGCTGGGAAGCCATTTTTCAAGGATGATTATGAAGAGAATGAAGCAACATAACAGATTCTATCACTAGAGGTTTTTACATACCTGATGTCACTTCCTCTGCTTGCACCACCTTCTCTTCTTCATTCTTCTCATCTCCTGCAGCAATGAGGTCGGACACAAGATCATTTACAGATTTATAATTCTCTCCGGTTGTTAAGATTTTACTCTGAACAGTCTGCTTGACTAGTCTTTTGCTGAATCCCATCTCCAAGGCAGCTTCAACCACTGGGGTTTTCATCATGATTGCATCTTCTGAAGCATTCTCACCAGGTCCAAAATGAATAACTGCTCAGAGAAAAATTCATGGCATTGCTCATTAGATCCATATGGATTTTGAAGAATATGTTTTAAATTTAAATTAAAACAGAATAAGATCATGTTTACATCAGGTTCCATGTCCAACTTTGAAAAAAACCTTTGCTTTACTCTTATGCAAATTAGCTTTTATATTAGGCTATACTAAAGGCTTTTTCACACAAGAAGCTTACGGATGTGAACATATTAAACTGTCTTATACTAAGTCAGACCACGGATCCATTTAGATTAGCAGTGACCCAGAACAGAAATCCAAAATCTCAGCAAAGGCTTTTCTGAATTGTACTATCAGGGACCTTTTTGTCTAAACATACCAGGGACTGAATCTGGAACTGTAGGCACACAAAAAATGTGCTCACCTACAAGGCAGTGAGACCTCCCCTTCAGAAATGTAGACCCTATATCTTTCTGCAATAGGCAAGAACCAACCAGCTTCTACTCCATAAGTAGAATCACTAATCAACTTACTAGATAGGATGTTTGTAAGTTACAGCAGCTGACATAGGAACTATGCTTGACAGCAACACTAATTAATTCACTAGCTGTATTTGGAAAAGCAGCTTTTTAAAGTCCAGAGCAAGCTATCAAACAAATATTTTGAGCCTCTATTATACAGTCTCCATAAGTGATATTGGCTTTCTTCAACTTAGGTCAGATCAATTCACAGGATGATACCTAATGTTGATCATATTCAAGTCCATTGATTTCATTGGGGTTACCCTGAATATAACTTATTTGGACCACTCACAGTAATTTCAAAGCTATCCACAATATTTTTTTACACCACCAGGGGGCCCCTATGAAAATGCTGAGAGAGGTTTTGCTAGCAATCTCAATGAAGACCTTAAGAAGAAAACGACAGTTTTATCTGAGTGTGCTTTTTCAGGAACTGCGCATTGAGTTTGGATTTTTTTGAAGTGTTTGCCATGGTTGCTGAATTCTCATTTTTTGCAGTTTTTGTTATTTATTATACTTGCTGTAAGCTACTCTGAAGGTCCAATTACTGGTGGAAGAGCAGGAAAAGTTATTCATTATGTTCTTGCCAAGTTGTGGCAAGATATGAACTGCATTGACATTCCACTTAGTAAGCAAGGCAATGCAAATTAGAGTAAGACAAACAGAAGTCTCCTCATTTTGAGAGTACAATACCAAGGGACAACAGTTATTTCTGAGAATCCATATTTAAGTTGCTTTGTAAGACACAATACTTCTAGATAAATGATTAAAACCTGATAGTGCTAAGTGATTTTGGTATTCCCTATTTAACAAACAGTGCTTTCATATTCCAAGTGTCCATACCAACTTAAATATCTTGTAAAAAATACTTACTTGGATCAATATTTTCATCCACAGGTGTATCTGAGGTGGATAACAGCTACAAAACACAGAAAGAGTGTTTTAAAATGCATGTAATTTTTGTGTATCAAAACAGAAGTGAACACAAGAAGTTTGCCAAAATTTAAACCACTTAAACAGTCACCCTAAACATCTGCATGCACTCTGTCCTGACCACCACAGCAATGTTCTTGTCAGACACTTTGAGGGCCGACTGTTGCTGTCACAATACATTGTCAACTGCCAGAAGAAAGGGGAAGCTTGTAGCTCCTATATGCAACTTTGATTGTTAGCTGCAGTGAGCACAGTAACAGATCACATGTCAAGCAGTTTGCTCAACTAGCCACTTAGTCACTCTTAGGAAACCATCACAGTTGCCATGTGAAATTGACAAGTTTCTACTGAATCACAGAAAACTCATATGCTCTCTAAAAGACCACATCCTTTGACCTTTAATCAAGTTCACACCTTTATTTGTAGCCACTTTCAGCATGCCTAACACATGGTCGGCTTTTATGTGATTAGGGGGAAGAGATTAAAATTAAAGGCTATTTTAGAGAGCTTAGTTTGAAAGTGTCCAATTTAAAAATCTATGAGGTACAGTGGTACCTCGGGTTACAGATGCTTCAGGTTACAGACGCTTCAGGTTACAGACTCCGCTAACCCAGAAATAGTACCTCGGGTTAAGAACTTTGCTTCAGGATGAGAACAGAAATTGCGTGGCGGTGGCAGTGGGAGGCCCCATTAGCTAAAGTGGTGCTTCAGGTTAAGAACAGTTTCAGGTTAAGAAAGGACCTCCAGAACGAATTAAGTTCTTAACCCGAGGTACCACTGTAATACACAAGAATACTGCTGAAATCAGAGCAAAGTAGTTGTTTGAATACCTGTTCAAGAAGATGGGGGAATCTTACTTGAATCTGATGGACAAACTCTTGTCCTTTCATATGCCGCAGGTACTCACATCTAGAAGATAAAATGCAAAATGTATGTTTCAATTCTAATATACAGATTGTACATTGTTCCAGATACATGCAGACCGAAGTGCCTCAGATAAGCCATATGCATGCCCAGTTCTAAATGTTCACTTTTGAAGTGGAGTTTGGAATCTGACATGACAACTCCTCCAGATACATAACATATTAACAGAGAATCTGCTCCGTTTAAACCACAGTCGGTCAATCTATGACCGAAAGGTCACATGCAGCCCTCAATCTAATTTCATGTGGGTAGGGGAAAGTCTGGATGGAATAAGCAGGGGAAATATGGAGGGAGAAATGAGAAGGGTGCAGAGAAAGCCTTCTGAGAATGATCAGTTCAGTCCCCTGCAAAAACTATTTAGTCACTCCCTGGCAGCCCACTTGGCAGGGGGAAAAAGAGAACAGAATATAGTCTGCTTACTGCTAGCATCTGCCCCCAACAGATTGCCCCAAGGGGAGTACAACTCTCAGCAGGAAAAAAACAATACTCCTCTTAAAATAGATCTCTTTGGGATACTAGTTTTGCCTTTCAGTTCCAAATATATTAAGATTAGGACCATAATTGCTACTATTTCAAAGAAGTTTAGATGTACCTTGGAAACCATTTAGCATGTTCTACCCATGGATCATCCCCAGACTCCCAACACCTGAGTCCACCATCACAGCAGAAACATTTAACATCATCATTGCGACCTGAAGAGGGGAGGGGAAAAACAGTTTATATAATATTTTTAAAGATACGTTCAGCAGTCACTGATTAAACAGTTAAAAAAAAAAATAATAGAGTCCAAGTGACCAAAAATAGGCAGCTCACTTACCCACATAATAGAAGCCAGCATCTGCAAGCCGCGGTGGCTGAACTGGAACTGCAGCTGGCCAGCTTTTGAAAGTGTTGAGGCGCATTACGTAGGTCTGCATGCTCATATTGGAGACTGTGAAACTGGTCTGGTCACACATTTGTTCCACAAAAGGGCAGTTTGGAAAGTGCCTCCGATGTTCCGACATGGCATTATCCTTAGGCTCCCAGTTACTCAGTTGACCACCACAGGCAAAACAAGCCACCTTGTCCGCAGGCCCAATGTAATAAAATCCAGCTTTTGCCAAAGAAGATGGTGACAGAAATGTCAGTGGCCATGACTCAAAAGTGCGCAGTCTGTCTTCCTCTGCACTCATTGCATAATTGACTGTTTTAGGTCTCAAATGGGACAAGTCTTCAACTGCCCTGGATGTGACTGGATCATGAGGAAAGCTTGAAAAGCTTCCACTGAAATAGCCAACTTGATCCATATTTGCTGCTGGTGTTGGGGAATGTGAAGAAGAAAGGCCAAAGGCAGTTGGAGGTGAAAAGGCAGAATTAAATGATGAACCGAGATTGTTCAATGGAGTCAAACTCTTTACAAAGTTGCAGCTGGGGTAGAGTTGCTTATGCTTGTCCAGAGCCTTGTCACCTTTTTTCCAGTTATCCAACATCAAGCCACAACTAAAACATTTTACTTTGTCTTTCACACCAGTGTAATAGAAACCAGCACGGGCGAGACTCCTTTCAGATACAGGTACATTCTGAGGGAAAGTCGAAAAGGTAGACATCCTGTAGAGTTCACATGACAGATCGTACGTCAGTTCACTTACATCACTGCTATTCCTCAGTTTGGACGGTAATGAATCATATATGTTCATGACGATGAAATAAGATAGGAGAATGGGACGAGTCTGAAGCCTGGGAGATAGTTTTGTGCAAATCTGATTAACTTCCAGGCCATAATAAAATAAAAACCTGAAAGCAAAACATTGCATGCAATTTCTTTATAAAGTATCTCTTTCATTCAGTACTTTCATCTTTCTGGCTAAACATAATTTGTTCTCTTTTTCAAAATGCACGCTTCCTTAAAACACTGTAGTTCCTTCTTCCTTATAAGTGCTAATGTTCCCCTTCTCATTATGGCAGAAGGGAGGAAGCCTTAAAAATAAAGTGTGAAGAAAAAAACTAAATATTTAGCCCATAGCCTGTAAACTTGGACATGAGTCCCACCCAAATCTAAGGAAGTCCAAATAAATTAAGTTAGTATCAGGCTGCAGCATTAGTTTCCAAATCCTGTTACTATGTAGAAAATAAAAGTGCAGAAATGTAGGGTATTAAGGAAAAGTGGAATCTGTAGGCATATGTATGACTTGCTTGTAGTTGGCTACATATGCTGAGAAGCCTTCTCCCCTTTAAAGTCAAATTAAACCAGGAATGTATGGGTTGTCCCCAACTAGGTTTTACTTAAAGGAGACCCACTGAAAGTAGTGGATGCAAATCTCCATTGATTTCAGTGGTGCTACTCTGAATATGACAAATATAGGATACCACCCTGTGTTTTGAAACTATGGTACATAAATACATCAGCTCCCTCTTAAGATTAGTTTAATTCTTGCCAAGAAAATACTCAAGGATTTCCCCTCAAATACATCAATGAAGTTTTGGAACTATTAAGCTAAGGGTGATCTCTGCAAACCACTATTGCTCTTGCCCTGGACACCAACAAGCTTTAATCAGCCCTGGAACATTTTCTTTCCTTATGTTGTTGCTGAAGTTTTATAGCATAATTTTAACCAGGTTGCTTTACTATTATTAGAAGTTTATTGTGTTTAACATAATTATATTGCTTGGGAGAGGAAAAATGGAACATCGGTAGGGCTGTATAGAAATTTAATAAATAATAATAATACTCATTAGCTAAAATATTTAGGCAAGTCATGTCTCTCCTTAATAAAAGCAAAAATAATTTTAGTATTTATGCACAAAACTATCTCCCAGACTTCAGACTCAAGTCCCTTTTAAGGGGCTTAGGCAGCCATATTGCAATATTGGGTCCACAAGGAGAAACAGTAAATGTAATGTGTGATAAACACAAGGTTACCAAGACCTGCATGAAGAGAAAAAGATATATGAGCTTCTTTAAAAAGTTATAGTATACTGTGTGTGTACACAGTTGTAAAGCACTACAAATATTCAATGGCAATAAACTTCACTTCAGTTATATTTTTAGCCAGAGTCTAATAACTTGTCTATGCCAACTGTTAGAATGGACTGGTGTTGAACTGAAGCCAATTTAGCCCACAAAGCATCCTTTGTGCCTATACTGAAAGACAATAAAGGAATCAGTGTTAACACCACTGATGTAGAGTTGAGAAGTTCAGGTTAGCTGCAAATCTCTCAGAATGGTGGCGGGGAGTAGGGATCAAGATTCCCTGCTAACTGTACACAAGAGAAGGCCATATATGAAGGCTCCCATAAGTTGATATTCACCTGCACATAGGAAGCACTCATATCTGCCAATGTGTAAGCTTTCTATGTAGGGATTTTTATGTGGAAAACAAGGCATCCTCTGAAAGCTCTGACATTGAGGTCAATGCTTCCTCTGAAAGCTTACTGACATTGAGGTCAATGCTTCCAATTGCGCAGTGTATTTAACTATTTCAAAAGTTGTTCTGGAATTGACTGCACATTGCTAGAGGTATTATTATACCAAAATTATTTTGGTTCACAGTGCTTTGGTCACAAACAATCAATACTTTTCAGAATTCCATTATGCTTAACATGTGACTTTTTATACACAGACTTTCCATCTAGGAAAGTGCCTGTGCTGCATGATGTATCACACACCATCATGGAGTGAACATATGCATATTTATATCCGGGGCAGAAAGAGATATTAGGTTCACAGTTCTTCAGAACTCAAAAAATAGCATTTCTGAAGTATGGGAACAAAGAAAATTAATGAGTTAATTAGGAAACTAAACAATCTGTTAAGTAGTATCTAAATGAGCTAGCAGCCGTAAATTAAGTGCATCTCAGCTACTGCCTCTTTGGAGGAGCTAAGGCATATTTTAAGTGCCTGATGTAGGAAGGCATCCATAATACTCAAGTCTTGCACATCTACACTTTCTGAGTAATTAGCAAATCATTTTAACATAACAATACACCATTGGCTGTCAGCAGGGATCAATTTTTTCCTATGACAGACAACTCTAAGGTTATGTCATACTTTCAAAAACAAATGGCACTTTGGATTTTTAGCATCTTCAAATCAAGTTATTTTTTATTTCCTATGAATCTATCTGTGATAGTCTAGATAAAATCCCATTCTCAAATAAATTAAATTACAGACCCTTATTAGCCTATTCCATTATTTGACGCCATAAGGCTAGCACATGTACTGCAGCATAACCTTTCATACATCTATCAGATGTTTGAAGAGCCAACTTCAGAGGATAGGTATATAAAGCACATAGTGTGTGAAGAAAAAGAGGTATTATAAAAATAAAACAAAGTGAGGTCAAAAGGAGAAAAGTTACAAGGGATGATTTACAGAACACAAAATGAGATTTAGGCACAAACAATAAAAGATCCAGAATGTCTAAACTAGTGATGGGCTGACAGTAAAAGATGAACAGCACACATTAATACCCACAATAACAGATATGGCAAGTCTATCAAGTAACCCTGGCTGTGCTACAAGTATATACCTATTTGCCTATACTGTGTTCCTACTATGTGAACCGCCCTGAAGCCTCCGGGTATAGGGCAGTATATAAATTAAATAAATTAATTAATATTATTATTATTTTAAGAAGTTTAAGTATACTCAGCTGAACTAAAATGGAACAGCAGTCTAAGATATAAAAGAGCACCTATTTATTAGACTTGCACTGCAGGATTGCAAAATAACAGTGCAGTCCACATAGGTCAAAGGAACATCAAACAAAAGGATTAAAGGTCTGGTGTGAGCAAATGGAAAACTACAAGTGTGAGGCCATTAAAGGAGGAATGAATAAAATGTCAACAGACTGTGCTAGATGACAATGAGGAGAAACAATAGTTACATTCCAAAAGTAATAACTAAAGGGAACAGTGGAATCAAAGTACCAGCAAAGTTTAGTAGCAGTTGTTAAAGCAGGATAGGAATGAAGTGATAAGGTGCCCATCATCTACTGCTATCTTCATGTCCTGCTCTGACCACTGGAAGAGTATCCGTCTGGCTGCTGTCATAAACAGAATGCCGGACTTTGAAAGACCCAGGTCTGAAGTGCTTGGTCATCCCTTGATTTTATCAGTTGCTCCCATCAGCTGATAATGTGAACATGTGGCTCTGATCTAGGTAGCCACAGAGACTGCATGCCACTCTATTTAGCATTAGCACATCAATTTCTTTTCATCTCTGAATCCAGCTGTCGCATCAATACGTAGTAGCCTCCAATTTATGTCTTCCACTTTCATGTCCCGTTCCTAGCAATTCTCCCTAGTCATCACAGTAACATGAAACCACTTTCAAACTGTTCTAGGAAGCTTATCATTAACTACAGACCAACTGCTCAGAAAAGAAACCTGACCACCTCTAACTAGCATTTTCCTGCAATGTACAACAACAAGAAACCCAGTCTTCAAATGACTGCCCAGTTGATAATAATCACATTCTGTTTGTAATCTGCTGGGGGGGGGGGGGCTTTTAAAACAATCAAGCAGCATATAAATTATATTAAAGTAAATAAATAAATGTTCAAGTTAACTTTGTAAGCTTACTTTGAGGTGACTCAACAAAATAGTAAGCTCAGCCCTTACATAATATGTTTACTCACCTAAGCCCCACTGTGCTCTATGGGGCTTTGCTCACGGGGTAGCTTGAAGACTGCAGTCCCACCCCCACCCCACCCCTTTCTCTCTCCATCAACTGCCGTGCACTGCCGATATGTCAACTTTGCGGCTAAGCCGTGCGGCTTTAATTTCGTACCCCACCCCCCGCAAAAAAAATATAAATGCACACCACGCCTGTTTTGATCGGGCACTTACGTATCCTCCTCCTACGAGCCTAAAGTTTCAGCTCCCCGCCCGGTTTAGATCGCGATAGTTGGCAGTGGCCCGATTAAAAAAAAAATATTCGCTTAAGCAGCTGCGTGTGTGTGTTAAAAAACAAAACTGCTCCTAACTGCCGAGTTCTTCGCCCTAATTCTTTTTGCAAAACGCTTTGAGGTTCCTCCGTTTAAAGCTGAAGCGGCACAGGAGATACATTGCACTGTTCTGCACTTAAACCGAATTTTTCGCATTTTTAAAGCCCCGGGACCGTCGTGTGAACAAAGGCCAAGCTACATATAATGATGGTGGTGATAGTAGTAGTAATGTATAGTTATAACAGTATTATAATAAAAAGAAGAACAGCAGTAGTATACTATTATACAGTAATATTATTAGTATATTGTTATGCAGTAATATTACTAGTATATTGTTATGCAGTAATATTACTAGTATATTGTTATACAGTAATATGAGCGTGTTGTTATATAGAAATAATGTATAAAAGTAATAATAATAATGGTGGTAGCAGCAGCAGTAGCAAAAGTGTAAAAAGAACAACCCCCCCACAAACGCCCTCCAGCAGCGGCGGCACAATAAGACCCCACCCCGACCCCGACCCCTCGGCCCCCCTTACCTCCAGGCCCTCCCAGGCGGATTTGGAAGTCTCCGCCGGCCGCCTCCCGGCCCCTATATACTGGGGGAGGGTGGGAAAAGGGAAGCTCACGAAACAAGAGCGTCGGAAAGAACCAAGGAGCGAGGCGAGAAAGCCGAGCGGGGCCCGCCCCAAAGGAGGGAGGGGAAATAACTCGAGGACGGAAATTCCTGTCAGCAACCGCGGTCTCCTCCTCCTCCACAGGCCGCGGGTTTCTTCCACAAACGGAAAAAGCCCCTAGCAGCAGAACAAGCCAGGCTCTGCGGCCTTGCGGCGCATGCGCGGTTAAGCGCCCTGCGCGAGGACGGCCTGTTTTTATATTTACCTCAGGCGGCGGCTTAGCTGGATCCGAGGGAGGAGCAACGGCGGCATTAGCGGCGGCGTCCTGGGTCATGACAGGAGCTGAAGCAGCGTCCCCTCAGGTGGACGCCAGGCCTTTCCACACGACGCTTGACGGTGGTGTGTGGGGTTTTATTTTATTTTTCCTTCACGTTATGTTTTGCTTTGCTTGCTAGTTCCTGAGTGCTGCTGCTGCTGCGTTTGTAACGGGAACGCGGTTTAGGCCAGGAGGCGTTCCGTTTCTGAGGGGAGTCTTTTATTTATCGGAAGCTGTTTATGAAGAAGTGCTGTCGGGGTCGAATAGTCCTCCGTAGAGAGCCGGCCCAAGACTTTTTGCCGCCTGAGGCGGACCACAAAAATGGCGCCTCTCCCGCCCCGCCGCCAGGGAAGAAGCGGGGAGCGGAGGTCGACCTCGGGACCCTGCGGACCCTGCCGCCTGAGGCGGTCGCCTCACCTTGTCTCGTGGGTGGGCCGGCCCTGATGCCCAGTCACGTTTAAAGATAGAAGCCATAATAAGGAAGGGGGAAGCAGGAAGGGCGTTGATGTTGCCCATCATGAGTGAGCAGCTGGACGGCAGACTCCGCAGCCACATGCAGGCCACACACTTCCCCCTCCGTGGTGAGATATATCCTGCTTCTCTCTGGATTGCAGTTGCTGTTTCTACATTTGTGTCTAGACATAGAGGAACACAGGAAGCTGCCTTATACGGAGTCAGACCTGTTGGGACATCGAACTCAGGGTTGTTCTGCATTACCGGCAGCTGCTTTCCCCTTGGGGTTTCAGGCAGGGGGACATTCCCAGCCCTGCTTTGGAGTTTCTGCATGCAAAGCAGATGCTCTGCCCCTGAGCTGTGGCCTTTCCGAAATGTATAGTGTGCAAGTCTTTCCCCCTTTCTTTTGGTGATGGCTTTCCTATTTTGTGTGTGTATGGTTTGAGGCTGAATTCCAGTATTATCAGGATGAGGAATCTGTGTCCCTCCAGAGTCTTTGGATTGGGAGCATCACCCTCAGGCTGCATGGCTAGTGGTCAGGAATGATGGGAGTCCAGCAACATCTGTTGCGAAACAAATTCCTCAGTACATCTGGTCCCATTGAAATCAGGGTGGTTTATTTCTGAATAGAGATATACATGATTGCGCTGTAATTCTTTTTAGGGGAAAGGAGGTGTATGTGTGCTAAATTAAGGTTGGCAATGCACAGGGGAGGACCACAGGTTGTTATGAGTGACAAGAAAAACAAATACAGTCTAACACACTCTTGCTCTAATTCTTACTCCCGTCCACTTTCCCCTACCCCTTTTCTTCAGAGATTCAAAGTATATTTTATCAATTAAGGCTAACTGCGCTCAACCTTGGTGAGTGTAAACCCCTACTGAGTAAGCATGCATAGGATTGGGCTGTCAGATTCTCAAACTGAAGGACAAGACCCAAGAGTGGACATTGCAGGGGTGAAGTGGGAGGTGATCTGCTACTTTTAGGAGATAAGGAAGCAGTTAGCCTAGTCATGTAGTGTCATCCTGCTAATGGTGCAAGGGTCTTCCTGGAACCTAGAATCCCCTGCGCACGTCAGCCTTCCTGCTATTCTGTCAGCAGCCTTGAAGCAAAGTCATTACTCTGTGTGGGTTGCAAAACTCTTTGCCAAGTTGCAGCATATCTGAAAAAACAGTCAATTTTTAGTTGCCTGAATTCTGCATATGCCCAAACGCATGAAGTTTACATATGAAGACAGGTGCAGTTGTTAATTTTGTGTATCTGTGACATAACTGGAGGAAAGAGAGGCAGGGGGAGGACTCTATGGATGTAATTCTCCAAGGCAACAGTGATTATGTACATGGACGGGATAGCTCAACCTTGATAGGTGCAACCTATGTATTTCTTGGTGCAGTTCAAAAATCTGTAGTTGTAAATCACTGTAATAACAAGATAGTCATTACAATATTTTTTATGTCCCTATAGCATATTTATTCTGTGCTCAAAGACATTTCATTATCCATAACCCTAACAACCTTGTAATGTAGGCCAGTGTTACTGTCTGCATGTTGTAGATGGGATGGGGCTTACAATGAACGAGTGGCTTACATACGGCTGCCCAGTGAGTTCATGTGAAATTTTCCTTTCAGAAAATTTCCAGTATGGGAAAAGAAACTGAGAAGAGTTCGGGTGAATACAGTGAAAATCTGTCACTGCTACATAGTAATAACAAAGAATGGGGGAAATTCAATTGATCATAGAAAGTAAACACCATTATTTCTTTTAAATCAATGCAAATTAATCTTGTACCAGCTTGGCAGTATTTGTCCAGGACATTAGGTACTTTTTGTCTAGGGGAAACCCAGCTGAACTATATTTTCACTTCACATGACCTTTTACGAAAGGGGGAATTCCACTCCCTGAATTATTTCCTGTGTGTCATGCCATTCTGGCAGACAGCCAGATTTGGGTTTTTTTCTTTTACAATGCTGGAGATTTGTTTGAAATGACATATAAAAAGATTGTCTGACTACTAAAAGTTTCTTTTTAATAAAATTCTGGACTCTCCCCAGTTTTCCCTTATCCCTTTGGTTTCACAATCATTTTTCTTCCTTCAGTATCTGACTTCATGGGGTTTTATATGCAACAGTGAAAAGTATATTTAAGATCACTCATGCTAGTTGTGAATTATTGTTATTATTCCATTTCATACTTCCCCTTTATAGGGCCCAAGAGTGGGTAATTTAAAAATGCAATCTTTTAATTGCTGCTGTTGTTGTTGTTATTTACTTTTTTTACTATCCTTTAAATTTTAATGCATCTGTAGGACAAGGATGTGGTTTGAGGCAAATCACTCATTTCTCAGCTGCCATGTAGTGAACTTTAATCCTTCTGGCACAGTATCAGTCCTTATTGCCCACCCCCCCCAACCCATAAGGGAAATTTTGATCAACAATAAACCTTTTAATAGGATCACTGTAAAATATCAAAATGAGAAATCCAGTAAAATAGAAAAAGCAATCTTGTGAGTAGATATTTTAGACAAAATTTCTTTCTGCATGTAAGATTTGGGGGAAATTCCATGACCGAGCTCAATACAGGTAAATGATAATAATTGTGTATTTTTTAAATCATTAAATAAGGGACATTTTTAAAAGTCAATGATTCTGTATAGATAATTAAAATCACAATGTAATTTTCTGTATAAATATGTGACTATTAATCTGACACTGATACTTGAGGCCAAATCCCATATCTCTTTAAAATACAGACAGTAGGTTTGCCCAACTCAGATGTACCTAAGACATGACTTAAACACTCTTTCATAGATAATGAAGTAGCAGATTTCAAGTGTCTAGCCAATACACTATTTGTAGATTCAAAGGTTTAGAATAAGTGACCTTTCAAAAATTTGATGAGCTTCTTCAGTATTGCCTAATAACGATTTCTGTAAATAATTTACTTCGTAGTACACTGTTGTAACTGTACCTAAGCCTAAGTACAGCTAACCAACCTGGTACCTAGTGCAGCTCTTTCAAGAGTGGTGTAACATGGTCACAGTTAGGTGCCTCAGTCAGTAGAATAGCTGTTGCATTCTGCACCAGCTGCAGCTTCTAGGGCAGCCCCACAGGGTAATCTAGTCCGGAGGTGACCAGTGCATTTCTGTCCAGGGATGATTATAGTTGTGTATCAAACCAGCCAAGTATGGTAGAAAATGCTCCTTGCCACTGAGGCCACCTTAACGTCCAGTGGCAATGATGGGTCCAGGAGCACCCCCACACTATGTACTTGCTCCTTTAGAGAGAATTGCAGCCCCATTTCTGAAGGAATTACCTAATTCCTGGAAAGAGAACCACAACCCACAGGACCTCCATCTTTTGGGGATTTAGTCTTCCATTGCATCCAGGCTCCGGTCCAGAACTTGTACAACCTCACCTCACTCAGATGGAAGAGAGAAATAGAGCTGAGTGTCATCAGTATATCAATGGCACTGTGTTCTAATTCCCGTAATGGTCCCTCCTAGCAGTTTCATATAGATGTTAAACACCATTGGGGACAAAATGACATTTTGTGATACCCTATAGTGTAACTGCCAGGGGCCTGACATAGACTCACCCAACGCCACTCTGGAACTGACCCAGTGGGTAGGAGTGGAACAAGTGTATAACAGTTCATTCCTCCAGCTACCAACTCATGGAGTCAGTCCAGTATTAGCCCATGGTCAGTGGTATCAAAAGCTGCTAAGGGAGCAAGCAAGAGTAACAGGGTCACACATGGTACTGTACAGAAAAGGAAGAAACAAAGGAAAAGGAAATGGAACTTTTAACGTCATTGCTGTGAGTTCCAGTTAAATGACTAGCAAAAAACCGTACACTCTACATTTCTTGCTAGGAAGCAACTTTGTCATTTTATTTATTTGAAATATTTATAAACTCAACATATAGCAGTGTACAACAACAAGAAAATATAAGGCAAAACAAACTATTTCCAAGGAGGAATTTGATACTATCTGCACACTCATTCATCCTTTTGAGAAAGCTTGCAGAAATAGAACTTTTAGCATCCAGTGGAAGGTCTACTGTGTTGGAGATTGTCTACTTTCAAAATGCTCTGTGTTTCACAAGGTAGGTGCCACTGAACTGAAGGAGCAACCACCATGGATTGAACCTCTGGCACGGCACCACAAGGAAGACCTCCTTAGATGACCACGGTAAACAGGCAGGTATAGAAGGGGTAAAGCAATCTCTCACATCCTGGTCCCAAGTTATGTAGGGCTTTATACACTAGCAGTAAGACCTTACATTTGGCTCAGTAACATAGTGGCAGTTGGTGAAGTTTAGTGCTGATGTTATGTGTTGACAGACAGCAACCCTGGCTGCAGGAGCAGCCCGAGACCTCACTCATTTCACAAAATCACTAAGAAGGTGCCTACAACATTTGCCCCCATTTCTTTCTTTCTAGGAAAGTTAGACACTTCTTTTAAAAAAATGAAAGCTCAGAGTCCGGGGCACCTGCCCTGGGTCACTAATGTAAGTCTTCATGGGTGCCAGGATGGCAACCCCTGCCTTAAAATGATGTTTTCATTCTCTTTGATTAGCCATTGATTGCTTCAGATGTCTTGTAAAGACTTACTGATTTTTGCCCAGACTACCTGACTCGTAAGATTTGGCCCTGTTGTTACTGATTTCATCTTCATTACTGATCTTTATGGTGTATCTTTTTAAAAATGTTGCATTTTTTTGTTTACCATATAGAGGTTTTTTAATATTAAGCAGTTTGGAAATGCTTTTAAATAAATAAATAATCTATATTTACTCTCTGTGCCAGTTTTGGTCTGTGTTTTACTGGATTCAGTGTCATGTTTGTGCATATGGTTTTTTTGTTTTTAAATTTCATTTAAATAAAACAATGAGTGTAATAAAGACGTAACAAATACAATAAACAAGCAGACATGCCAGTCCATATGCCTAGAATAGCCACATCTCAGGTATGTTTCATCCAGCCTCCCAAAGTCCAGTGTTGCTTTCATGTTACCTGTGTAACAAATGCCTATCCTTATCTGTGGTCTCTGTACCTGTGCAGAGTAGGCTATATACACACACACACACACACACACGTGATTCTAGTCCATACTGTTGCAGAGGACAATTTTAAAGCATGCTTTTAATGTTTCTAAGAAAAGACCTCTGGGTAGGAATTCTAGGAAGTCAGTTATTTTGCCTTTTCACTTTTTGAATTTCTTTTCAGGGTGTAATTTGTGCCACAGCAAACAAAAGATTAGAGATAGAACTGTTTATTCGTGGGGTGTAGTTCTAGAAAATGTAAAGCAATAATAAGTGATTTAGGCTGTAGCC